TAACCTGTCTAAATGACTATCGCGCTGTAGCACTCACATCTGTAGCCATGAAATGCTTGTAAAGGCTGGTCATGGCTCACATCAACACCATTATCCCAGACACCCTGGACCCACTCCAATTCTCATACCGCCCCAACAGATCCACAGATGACGCAATCTATATTGCACTCTACACTGCCCTCTCCCACCTGGACAAGAGGAACATCTACAGTACCAGTCAAAAGTTTGGACACACTTACTCATTCAAGGGTTTTTCTTTATTTGTAAAAAAAATTATATTGTAGAATAATAGTGAAGACATCAAAACTATGAAATAACACATATGGAATCATGTAGTAACCAAAAAAGTGTTAAACAAATCAAAATATATTTTATATTTGAGATTTTTCAAATAGCCATCCTTTGCCTTGATGATGGCTTTGCACACTCTTGGCATTCTCTCAACCAGCATCACCTGGAATGCTTTTCCAACAGTCTTGAAGGAGTTTCCACATATGCTTAGCACTTGTTGGCTGCTTTTCCTTCACTCTGCCGTCCGACTCATCCCAAACCATCTCAATTGGGTTGAAGTCGGGGGATTGTGGAGGCCAGGTCATCTGATGCAGCAATCCATCACTCTCCTTGGTCAAATAGACCTTACACAGCCTGGAGGTGTGTTGGGTCATTGTCCTGTTGAAAAACAAATGATAGTCCCACTAAACCCAAACCAGATGGGATGGCGTATCACTGCAGAATGCTGTGGTAGCCATGCTGGTTAAGTGTGCCTTGAATTCTAAATAAATCACAGACAGTGTCACCAGCAATGCACCCCCACACCATCACACCTTCTCCTCCATGCTTTACGGTGGGAACAACACATGCAGAGATCATCTGTTCACCCACACCGCATCTCACAAAGACAAGGCGGTTGGAACCAAAAATCTCAAATTTGGACGCCAGACCAAAGGACACATTTCCACCGGTCTAATGTCCATTGCTCGTGTTTCTTGGCCCAAGCAGGTCTCTTCTTCTTATTGGTGTCCTTTAGTAGCGGTTTCTTTGCCTTCAATTCGACCATGAAGGCCTGATTCACACAGTCCCCTTTGAACAGTTGATGTTGAGATGTGTCTGTGACTTGAACTCTGTGAAGCATTTATTTGGGCTGCAATTTCTGAGGCTGGTAACTCTAATGAACTTATCCTCTGCAGCAGAGGTAACTCTGCGTCTTCCATTCCTGTGGTGGTCCTCATGAGAGCCAATTTCATCATAGCGCTTGATGGTTATTTGAGCTGTTCTCTCCATAATATGGACTTGGTCTTTTACCAAATAGGGCTATCTTCTGTATACCCCCCTACCTTGTCACAATACAACGGATTGGCTCAAACGCATTAAGAAGGAAATAAATTCCACAAATTAACTTTTAAGAAGGCACACCTGTTAATTGAAATGCATTCCAGGTGACTACCACATGAAGGATTGTCCTTTATTGGACACTGTGTTAACAAACCTCCAAACGAGCTTCAATGCCATACAACACTCCTTCCGTAGCCTTCAGCTGCTCTTAAACGCTAGTAAAACTAAATGCATGCTCTTCAATCGAACGCTGCTTGCACCCGCCCGCCCGACTAGAATCACTACTCTCGGCGGGTCTGACTTAGAATATGTGGACAACTACAAATACCTAGGTGTCTGGTTAGACCGTAAACTCTCTTTCCAGACTCACATTAAGCATCTCCAATCCAAAGTTAAATCTAGAATCGGCTTCCTATTTCACAACAAAGCCACCTTCACTCATGCTGCCAAACATGCCCTCGTAAAACTGACTATCCTACCGATCCTTGACATCGGCGATGTCATTTACAAAATAGCCTCCAACACTCTACTCAGCAAATTGGATGTAGTCTATCACAGTGACATCCGTTTTGTCACCAAAGGCCCATATACTACCCACCATTGAGACCTGTACGCTCTCGTTGGCTGGCCCTCACTACATATTAGTCGCCAAACCCACTGGCTCCCGGTCATCTATAAATCACTGCTAGGCAAATCCCTGCCTTATCTTAGCTCATTGGTCACCATAGCAACACCCACCCGTAGTATGCGCTCCAGCAGGTATATCTCATTGGTCATCCCCAAAGCCAACACCTCCTTTGGCCGCCATTCCTTCCAGTTCTCTGCTGCCAATGACTGGAACGAACTGCAAAAGTCTCTGAAGCTGGAGACTCTTATCTTCCTCACTAACTTTAAGCATCAGTTGTCAGAGCAGCTTACCAATCACTGCACCTGTACACAGCCCATCTGTAATTAGCCCACCCAACTACCTCATCCCCATATTGTTATTTATCATTTGCACCCCAGTATCTCTATTTGCACATCATCTTCTGCACATCTATCACTCCAGTGTTAATACTAAATTGTAATTATTTTGCACTATGGCCTATTTATTGCCCTACCTCCATAACTTACTACATTTGCACACACTGTATATATATTTTCTATTGTGTTTTTGACTGTACATTTTGTTTATCCCATATGTAACTCTGTGTTGTTGTTGTTTTTATCACACTGCTTTGCTTTATCTTGGCCAGGTCGCAGTTGTAAATGAGAACTTGTTCTCAACTGGCTTACCTGGTTAAATAAAGGTGAAATTAAAAATACATTTTAAAAAAGCTGGTTGAGAGAATGCCAAGAGTGTGCAAAGCTGTCATCAAGGCAAAGGGTGGCTATTTGAAGAATCTCAAATATAAAATATATTTTGATTTGTTTAACACTTTTTTGGTTACTACATGATTCCATATGTGTTATTTCATAGTTTTGATGTCTTCACTATTATTCTACAATGTAACATTTTTTTACAAATAAAGAAAAACCCTTGAATGAGTAGGTGTGTCCAAACTTTTGACTGGTAGTGTATGTGAGAATGCTGTTCATTGACTACACCTCAGCATTCAACACCATAGTGCCCTCCAAGCTCATCACTAAGCTAAGGACACTGGCACTGAACACCTCCCTCTGCAACTGGATCCTGGACTTCCTGATGGGCCGCCCCCAGGAGGTGAGGGTAGGCAACAACAGATCCGCCACGCTGACCCTCAAATCAGGGGCCCCTTAGGGGTGCATGCTTAGTCCCTTACTGTACTCCCTGATCACATACGACTGCGTGGCCGCGCAAGACTCCAACACTATCATTAAGTTTGCTGACGACACAACGGTGGTAGGCCTGATCACCGACAACGATGAGACAGCCTATATGGAGGAGGTCAGAGACCTGGCAGTGTGGTCCCAGGACAACAACCTCTCCCTCAACGTCAGCAAGACAAAGGAGCTGATCGCGGACTAAAGGAAACGGAGGGCCGAGCACACCTCCATTCACATTAATGGGGCTGTAGTGGAGCAGGTCGAGAGCTTCAAATTCCTGTCTACATCACTAAGGATCTATCATGGTCCACACACACCAACATAGTCGTGAAGATGGCACAACAATGCCTCTTCCCCCTCAGGAGACTGAAAAGATTTGTCATGGGCCCTCAGATCCTCAAAAAGTTATACAGATGCACCATTGAGAGCATTTTGACTGGCTGCATCACCACTTGGTATGGCAATTGCCTGACATCCAACCACAAGGCGCTACAGAGGGTGTGCGTACGGCCCTGTGCATCACTGGGACCGAGCTCTCTGCCAACCAGGACCTCTATACAAGGCGGCGTCAGTGGAACACCCTAAAAACTGCCAACGACTCCAGACACCAAAGTCATAGACTGTTCTCTCTGCTACCTCACGGCAAGCGGTACTGATGTACGTCTGGAACCAACAGGACCCTGAACAGCTTCTACCCCCAAGCCAATAGACTGTTAACTAGTTAGTTAAATAATTAACCAAATAACTACCCGGACTATCTGCATTGACCCTTATTGCAACTTTCTTGACTCATCACATATGCTGCTGCTACTGTTTATTATCTATCCTGTTTCCTAGTTATAAGTACATATCTACTTCAATTTCCTCGTACCCCTGCACATAGACTCAGCACTGGTACCCCATGTATATAGCCAAGTTAGTAAGTTATTATTACTTGTATTATTACTTGTTGTTATTTTTCTATTATTTCTCTATTTTCTTTCTCTCTGCATTGTTGGGAAGGGTCCATAAGTAAGCATTTCACTGTTAGTCTACACCTGTTGTTTACAAAGCATGTAACGAATAACATTTTATTTGATATGATTCAACCAACTTGCAAACACTATAGGTGAAAGATAGGTCTGTCTTTTGGAAACCAACTAAACCAACTCTCAACATAGATACAGATCTTAATTTGACCCAGCTTCTCACAGCAGGAAAATAATCCTGCAGCAACAGGAAATGTGAATTAATATGTGGATCATAATTAATTGACATTTTTGTAGGGGTTGATGCATATTTTGTTAGGGCAAATCGAGTCTGACATTTTAAAGTGGAAATTGCAAACTTTAGAAGCCTTTTAAAACCTTGACTACACTACAATTTGCATTTCCTGCTGCACAGGAAAATGTTCTGCTGATAACAGTGATCAAATTAAGATCGCAGATCTGTATGTGTACATTGCAACATGTTTACACACATCTCTGTTTCACACTAAATAATCTGCGGTCTGCTCCACCTAGTGGCTATGAGGTTGTAGTGTGTGAGGCCAAACAGTGGCCAAGCTTATTTCTGTCTCACTTACTGTGATGTTTTAGCATTTTCAGACCACTCCTACATTCACACCTAAAAATGCGTTTTCTGTTTTTATTTAATTTGCTCTGTGTAATTCCACATGATCCTGGCCTACTTACTGCTCTTCAAATAATACTTTCACAACATTTTATTATCAAACATCTTAATCAAATTCAACAAAAACATTTACAAATCCTGATGTAAACTGAAAAACATGACCAAACTATATACACTCAAGTATCCCACAAATATTCATCATTAAAAATCAAAGCTCTAATCAAGCTTTCAAAAACTGCAAGCTCATTTTCTATTGCTGTCTCTCTGTCTCCCTATCTCCCCACCCCTCTCTCCCTCCCTCCCCCTTTCTCTCTTGAGTCTATCCGTTGGTTCAGCCAGCTCCTCAGAGTTCCCAGGTTTCTTTCTATCCAGAGGATGTTCTTCTGGATGTTGTCAATGGCAACCTGAGTGACTCTCAGCTGAGACGCCTGCTCATGGATCGACTCAAAGAATACACGCACCTAGGGAACACACACACCTGGTAAGCATGGCCGTGGGCTTTGGGACACACACACACCCTCGCTCATACATTGCTACTGACACATTACATTTCTAGGTTCAGGGTGTAGTTGTTGAAAATTATATTGCCACTAACAGATCAGTAATCTCACCTCAGTGAGTTCCTCTGTGGAGGAGAACTGGCCTGTGGTGCCGATGATAATGTTTCTAATAGAGAACGATCCCAACTGGAACCTGCAGGGTGGAAATCAGAGGAAACATCACAGGTTGGCTAAAGCCCACAGGCTATGGGACTGCTGGCCTACTACTACATACTTTTTTTACCATTGTCTGTCTATCAGTTCTCTAGCACAGGGATAGACGCCACCTATTTCTCCTCCTGAGTGTTAGTTTCTCTCTCCCTCTCCCTGTGCATCTCTCTTCCTCCCCCTCTCTCCCAACCCTCTCCTTCTCCCTCTCCCCCTCCTCTCCCCCTCCCCCTCTCACTCCCCCTGCCTCTCCCCCTCCCTCTCTACCACCTACTTGTCCACCAAGGTGCTCCAGTATTTCTGGACGTAGGTCCAGGCCAGATGATGTCCCCTGGGGTTCCTGGCTACCATGACGAGGAGGGAGGCCAGGTCCTGGGTACGGATCACCTTCCCCTCTAGACCCAGCTCCAACAACCTGGGGTAGAAACACACACACACACAAATTTAATGTAATGTCATATATTGAATTGAATTGACAGAGTATAGAAGACTATACATACTTGTGTAGTTTGTTTGTGTCTCTGCTGCTGGCCAGGGCAGAGAGGATCTTGTGTTTGTGTGTCTCTGAGAGGGAGAGAGTGTATATGTGGAGGAGCGACGCCCAGCCACTGTCCTCCTGGGCCCCTACTGAATACACTGTCTCTGTCACTGCAGGCAGGCTGGTGGAGGGAGAGGCACAGACAGGACATGGTTTACTTCTGCAGTCAGGCAAAGTTTGCACCTTTGATTGGGTCAAGGATTGAACAAGGTACTGTATGTTGCTGTCCATGGGATGTAATTACTCTCTCAAATAGCTGACAGACAGACAGACAGACAGACAGACAGACAGACAGACAGACAGACAGACAGACAGACAGACAGACAGACAGACAGACAGAAAGACCTGAGTGTGCTGTTGGAGTCCAGCCAGTGTGTGAAGCTGCGCTGGGCCTGCTCCAGACAGGGGAGGTCTCCTAGATGGCAGGCCAGGGAGAGGAGCTCCGAACTCTGCCGCCTCTCAGACACAGAGCCCTTGTCGCTCCACATCTGACGGTCAATCACACCACGGAAATACCACAGGATGTATGTCTGCAGAAAACACACACAGAGAGGACATCAGACCACACACAGAGAGGACATCAGACCACACACAGAGAGGACATCAGACCACACACACACATACCTAACTCAAACTTTATGTAACAGAATGTTTTAGAATTATTTCATGTTTTATGTGTTTGTGTATGTGCCCTACCCTGAGGTTTTGTGTGACGTCAGGTATGTCCATCCTCTCCACCATCCTGTAGAAGGCTTCCAGGTAGGCCAATCCTTGGAGGAGGGGCACGGTGTGACTCTCTGATCGCAGGTAGCCAATAAGGTCCAAGGCTTTATCGAGTGACAGCCGACCTGCCCTATAGAAATATTATAGAGGGATGACGTCAGAAACAAAAGAGTGTTTGTGTTGTCTATTCACATAATCACATGGACACACACACACACAGATAGGTCTCTTACGTGGTGAGTTGGAAGGCGTTGTGTATGAGGTGTGTTCTGTCCATGAAGCTGAGAGCTGTGTGGTTGTTCTTCAGTAGTTGTATCAAGTCGTCCCAGCCTGAACCATCATAGTGGACCAGGTAATAACCAGCCATGTCCACATTCACCTTCAACACATGAACATCAGAGTGAGTGTGTGTGTGTGTGTGTGTGTGTGTGTGTTTACCCCTGCTGCAAGCTAGGCCATGCTGGATCAGAGGGATGTGTGGTCCTCAGGAACCTCTCCTGTTTCAGCACCAGACGAGACCACTGTCTAGCAACCGTTACCAAGGGCACACCTGTCTGCAACGTCCAGGTGTTCATCATGGTCGTCAGGTCCAGGTGCTCCCCAGCGTACAGGTACTGACACACAACACACACACACATCAAAACCACACCCACAGGTAAACATCACACAGTTAATTCAGTGGTGAGACGTTTACAGAGTACATGTTTGTAATGGTCGGACTGTTGGTATTGTAATGTAATGTACTGTTATGTAAAGAGAGGTGTGTTTACTGCGTTCTTAGCTGCCTGGCTGCTGCTGTAGCAGTGTTCTCCAGAGGTGAACTCCTCTTCTGAACACATCTGAGAAAAACAACACAGCAGTTCACATTTACACACTAAAGCAACCTATTGGGATCAAAAAATTATGTATCATTTGATCGATCTACGCACGTTGGCCAGGCTGTCCCACAGTTCCTGGTTGCAAGCGTTGCTGTAGCTGTACCTGCGAAGGTAACGCATGATTCCACTCTGGAACACTTGGTCAGTCAGGTAGTGTCTTAGCATGTGCAGGACATATGCCCCCTGGTGGAACAAACAACAAAGTACATCAACACTGGGGGCCTGATCCAATACTTTAGACATGCATCCTAACTCCCTCAATTGAAGTAAAGACAGGGTTGATGAAATCTATGTAATGGAAAAAGTGTGCTTGTGTATATGCGTGTTTGCCTACCTTATTATAGGATACTGTGTCGAACATCTCTTTAATCTGTGTGGGGCTTTCAGCCACTGAAGATGGGGCGAGAGGAGTTTAGATCGCAACGAAGCAGGTGTCCAGAAGATAGTCCTCCTAAGAGATTAAAAAAGGCACAGTTTCAACAGGAATTTCACTCAGGGACATGTCTAGATCAGGTGAAACATTCATACTGTGAACTCGGGCTAGTGATGTGTACAACAAGTGAGTAACAGGATCATACCACTCTGAGTTCGGGGTATGTGGCGTCCACTGAGATGTACTCCATGTATCTGGCAAAGCCCTCGTTCAGCCAGATGTCATTCCACCACTCCATGGTCACCAGGTTCCCAAACCACTGACTGACTGACTGACTGACAGACAGACAGACAGACAGACAGACAGACAGACAGACAGACAGACAGACAGACAGACAGACAGACAGACAGACAGACAGACAGACAGACAGACAGACAGACAGACAGACAGACAGACAGACAGACAGGAGAGGACAGACAATGAGAGATGTCAAGAGAAGAGAGGAGTTCCAGTGCAGATAAACTTCCTGAAGAATCCAGAGGTTCATAGCATCACTGTTAATCCCTCTTCATGTCATTGTAGTCATATCACATAAAATCTAACTCCTTGCCATGACTGGCTACTTCCTGTTCTACACCGTGAACTGCACAACAACCTGTCTGACTCTTACCTGGTGGGCGAGCTCATGGGCGATCACCATGGTAACCCAGAGCCTATCGGAGGCTGAGGAGGTGGCAGGGTCGTAGAGCAGGCTGGTCTCTCTGAAGGTGATCAGACCCCAGTCTTCCATTGCTCCCGACTGAAAGTCTGGGATAGCCACCAGGTCTGGAGGGGGAGGCAGGCAGTAACTTTAGAATGATTGCCTTGCTTGTTTAAACAACTGGGTTATTCTTGAATTACGGTGGCCTTTGGGCATGGCAATTTTACTTCTTTTTTTCTAGATTTGTATTTATTTAAATGTATTTGGGTACATCTTCCCATTCTAAAACAACCAAAATGGTAGCTTAATGACTTTAAATATTTTTTACCATTATGATAACATTGTGACACCAGTAGGAGTAGTAACCCCAATGATGGTAACACCAATGAGACGTTTTAGATAAATTAGGATTTTCTGAAATGCTGGCCTTGAATGCTAAAATCTAAGGTCATCAATCTTTTAAAAGCCATTTACTAAAGTGAAGTGATTAATCATTTTGCTCACAATGTTATTTCCACTTCATTTAAATTGACTAACACAAAGTGACATTTTACATTTAGACACACCAAATTATCAGAGGGATGAATCCTCAAATTGATGAAATACTAAAAGGGTGTGATTAGCTAATACATTTTTAAAATATACTGTAGATCCCTCCCCTGATAAAAGTTTGCCGCTGGAGAGAATGCTCAAGGTCATTGTATATCTGCACTCATTCACGTACTCACTCATGCATACACTCATACAGATATACACTCATCCACACACACACACATACATTCATGCTACACATCACAACTGCTACCATACTCATATTATGATTGCTAAATACTGCCTTCCTGTATTATACTGATGCTAAAATGTTTATTATATTCTACTGAGCCATTTAACTTTATGTTCATATTCTTATCCTTTATTATTTCTTATTGTTGCATTGTAGAGAAGGAACCTGCAAGTAAGCACTTCGTTGGACGGTGTATACCATGTGTTTGCCTTACATACGACTAATAAAACTTGAAATGTGGAATTTGATATCTTTATAATCAGTGATTTTCAATGCGATAACACCAATGACATAAAACGGAGAAACACACATTATACTTCTTTGTTTTTATTGATCTATACAATATATTAAATACTTGTATTCACTGTCTAGTATTCAAAATAATAGATACAGATGTAGGATCTTAATTTGATCACCCTGTTGCAGGATAACTTGTAGTATTTCAGGTTTAAAAAAGGCTTCTGAAGTTTGTAATTTCCACTTTAAAATGTCAGACTTGATTACGAAAGATGTATCAACCCCTACCAAAATGTTCATTATGCATTATGCTTTATCATCAACGTTGATGTTGATGTATTTAGCAGTGGTGAAAAATTACCCAATTGTCATACTCAAGTAAAAGTGAAAGTCTCCCAGTAAAATACTACTTGAGTAAAAGTCTAAAAGTATTTGGTTTTAAATATACTTAAGTATCAAAAGTAAATGTAATTGCTAAAATATACTTAAGTATCAAAAGTAAAAGTAAAAGTATAAATCATTTCAAATTCCTTATATAAACCAAACCAGACGGCATCATTTTCCTGTTTTTTTTATTTACGGATAGCCAGGGGCACACTCCATCACTCAGACATAATTTACAAACGAAGCATGTGTTTAGTGAGTCCGCCAGATCAGAGGCAGTAGGGATGACCAGGGGTGTTCTCTTGATAAGTGTGTGAATTAGACAATTTTCCTATCCTGCTAAGCATTCAAAATGTAGTACTTTTGGGTGTCAGGGAAAATGTATGGTGTAAAAAGTACATCATTTTCTTTAGGAATGTAGTGAAGTAAAAGTAAAAGTTTGGGTAAAGTACAGATACCCCAAAAAACAACTTAAGTAGTACTTTCACTGGTATTTAGTTACTTTGTTTAGGTAGTGGGTAGTTGATATTTAAGTATTAAGTTACCTTTTTTAGGTAGTTGATATTGAAGTATTTACACAGAATACAAATATAAACGCAACATGTAAATTGTTGGACCGGTTGGACGTACTGACAAATTCTCTAAAACGACGTTGGAGGCACTATATGGTAGATAAATGAACATTAAATTCTCTGGCAACAGCTCTGGTGGACATTCCTGCAGTAAGCATGCCAATTGCATGCTCCCTCAAACTTGAGACATCTGTGGCATTGTGTTGTGTGACAAAACTGCACATTTTAAAGTGGCCTTTTACTGTCCCCAGCACAAGGTGTACCTGTGTAATGATCATGCTGTTTAATCAGCTTCTTGATATGCCACACCTGTCAGGTGGGTGGATTATCTTGGCAAAGGAGAAAGGCTCAGTAACAGGGATGTAAACAAATTTGTGCACAAAATTTGAGAGAAATACGCCTTTTTGTGCATATGGAAAAGTTCTAGGATCTTTTATTTCAGCTCATGAAACATGGGACCAACACTTTACATGTTGCGTTTATATTTTTGTTCAGTATAGTTGCCTTGTTTAGGTAGTGGGTAGTTGATATTGAAGTATTTAGTTACCTTGTTTAGATAGTGGGTTGTTGATATTGATGTACAGTGCCCTCCACTATTATTGGCACCCCTGTTTAAGATGTGGTCGAGGACTTCCAAAAATGCTCATTTTTTTTTAAAAACAACATAGAACCCAAATGCAAAAAAAGAGAAAAATCCAACCTTTTATTTAAGTACATTACTTTGGTGGTAAAACAAAAAAAATCACACATTTACAAAAAAAAAAATTCATGTGTCCGAAAATCATGTGTCCCACAATTATTGGCACCCCTAACAATTCCGCAGAAAATTTTAATTGATTTTTTTTTAAATATATTTTTCTGTAGTTGCTAAAGTTGGTCAGGGTATCTAGGAACTTTTAATTAGTAATTCATGACTTCCTGTTTCCCTGGGGTATAAATATGACGTGACACAGAGGCCTAATTCTCTTACCCATTTGTCAACATGGCAAAGACAAGAGAACACACCATTCAAGTAAGGCAGATTTGTGTCGACCTTCATAAGTCAGGCAATGGCTACAAGAAAATAGCCACTCGCCTTAACTTGCCCGTATCTACAGTCAGAGGAATCATTAAGAAGTTTAAAACAACTGGAACAGTGACAAACAAGGCTGGAAGAGGTCCCAAGTTTATCTTGCCACAACGCACAGTGAGGAGGATGGTAAGAGAAGTAAAAAAAATCCTAAGCTCACTGTCACAGAATTGCATCAAAGAGTGGCATCTTGGGGTCACAAAGTCTCCAAAACAACCATCAGACGCTCTCTACATGCCAACAAGCTGTTTGGGAGGCATGCAAGGAAAAAGCCTTTTCTCACTAACACTCACAAACGTAAACGTCTTGAGTTTGCTAAGCGGCACTGGGACTTCAACTGGGATCGTGTGCTTTGGTCAGATGAGACTAAGATTGAGCTTTTTGGCAACAAACACTCTAAGTGGGTCTGGCGTAAAACAAAAGATGAGTATGCCGAAAAGCACCTCATGCCCACCGTGAAGTATGGTGGAGGATCTGTGATGCTGTGGGCCTGTTTCTCTTCCAAAGGCCCTGGGAACCTTGTTAGGGTGCATGGCATTATGAACGATTTGAACTACCAGGACATTTTAAATAAAAACCTGATGGCCTCTGCCAGAAAGCTGAAGATGGGTCGTCATTGGGTCTTTCAGCAGGATAATGATCCAAAACATGTGGCAAAATCTACACAAAAATGGTTCAGCAGTCACAAACTCAAGGTCCTCCCATGGCCATCTCAGTCCCCAGACCTCAACCCAATCGAAAACCTGTGGGGCGAGCTAAAGAGGAGAGTGCATAAGAGAGGACCCAGGACACTGTATGATCTAGAAAGATTGTGCAAAGAAGAATGGTCAAAGATCCCTCTCTCTGTGTTCTCCAATCTTGTGAAATGTTATAGGAGGAGATTAAGTGCTGTCTTGTTGGCTAAAGGGGGTTGTACAAAGTATTAACATCAGGGGTGCCAATAATTGTGGGACACATGATTTTAAGTTTTTTTTTTTTCTAAATGTGTGATTTTTTTTTTTTACACCAAAGTAATGTACTTAAATAAAAGGTTGGATTTTTCTCTTTTTTTGCATTTGGGTTCTATATTGTTAAAAAAAAAAGGAGAATTTTTGGAAGTCCTCGACCACATCTTAAACAGGGGTGCCAATAATTGTGGAGGGCACTGTATTTAGTTACCTTGTTTGGATAGTGGGTAGTTGATATTTATATATTTAGTTACCTTGTTTAGGTAGTGGGTAGTTGATGTTGAAGTATTTCTCGTAGAACTCCAGTAGTTTGACTGCAGCCTTCAGAGCATAATGAGTCTGCTGCCATTTCTCAGGAGCAGCATAGACAGAAACCTGAAACATTATTACAGTGATGTTCTGAAATCACACACATACACACACACACACACATTGCACATACATACATGTACACATACCCGTATACACATCCCTGCCCCCAGTCAGACCTACCTTGACCCCTGAGGCAGTTGTTGCCTGACAGATCTGAAGTCACAAACGATGAAGGCCACCAGATAGGAGCTCATCCTCACACTCACAGCAAAACGGTCCTCCATTAGTCCATCATCCAGGACCACTGTCTGCTCCTAGAGGGAAAACACACACACATGCACACACACACACTGCCTTCAGAAAGTATTCATACACCTTAACTTATTCAAAAAAATGTTGTGTTACAGGCTGAATTAAAAATGGATTCATTCGATTTTTTTCTCACCCGTCTACACACAATACCCCATAAAGTGGAAACATGTTTTTAGATATATTTAGTAATTTATTGAAAATGAAATACAGAAATATCTAATTTACATACAGTGCCTTGTAAAATTATTCATCCCCTTGGCGTTTTTCCTATTTTGTTGCATTACAACCTGTAATTAAATTGATTTTTATTTGGATTTCATGTAATGGACATACACAAAATAGTCGAAATTGGTGAAGTGAAATGAACAAAATAACTTGTTTTAAAAAATTCAAAAAAATTAATAACGGAAAAGTGGTGCGTGCACATGTATTCACCCCCTTTGCTTTGAAGCCCTAAATAAGACCTGGTGCAACCAATTACCTTCAGAAGTCACATAATTAGTTGAATAAAGTCCACCTGTGTGCAAACTGTCACATGATCTCAGTATATATACACCTGTTCTGAAAGGCCCCAGAGTCTACAACACCACTAAGCAAGGGGCACCACCAAGCAAGCGGCACCATTAAGACCAAGGAGCTCTCCAAACAGGTCAGGGACAAAGTTGTGGAGAAGTACAGTCACATGGGCGGTGTGTTCAATAGGGCGATATGGGCGACGCACTGCCAAACGGGAAAAGGAAGGGATTTTTTTTCTAATCAATTATATCATGGCAACAGTAGTTCAGTGTTCACGTCTGATCTGCCAGCCACTAAATGTCCAATCAGGCTAAAGTCGTGCTTCAAATGTCCCCGCCCGTTTTGGGGCGATTTCAGTCAGGTTGAAAATCGCCCAGAAGTCTCTCATAGCCTCTAATGTAAAATATTTTTTTTTCAAATTTCTGAGCTTTCAATACATTCTCTATGGGTGTCTGAGGGCTTGCACTTACGCGCTTTCGTCATACGTAACGTAACGTAACCATGAACGGCAGACAGCAACGCTTGGACAGCGACTGGTGTAACCGACATGCACCATCTTTCAGAAAAGATTAAGAAAAATGAGCTGTCAAAGACCCACATTGATAGCTGTTTGAGATTGTCTGCTTTGGTGAGAGTGAATATTGCCACTCAACTGGATGAGGGATACAGGCTAGCTGTCCGCCGCCACAACGATGAGGTTAGCAACAGCAGAGTCGTGAACACTGTCTACGAGAATCGAGACGACCTCATAGAATGTTTTGAAGCCATCCGGACGGGTTCATTGGGTTCATTTGACCAGCCCACCGTACCAGAAGCTACAGAATAAGGACATCGATGCTGTCTTTATCAAACGTGCCCTCGACAGCTTCGCAAGCAGTGTGCAGGCCATAAGGTAAGATAAAGATTAAACAATATCATTCGATCTTTCTCAAAGCAGAGCTTTATTTGAAAATGTATGCATGAAAGGAGACTGCATTTGTGTTTGAAATTACATTATTGTCATTATATATGGCCAGTGGTGTAATCTATCTTATTTTATATACTATGTGTACTGTACAGTGGTGCTCATAAGTGTATGAACACATTCTAAAGCTGACTAAAAAGAGGAATAAAAAAATAAAAAAATCATCTTTTGGAAATTGATCTTAATGACTTAATTAAAAAAGTTTGAAAATCCAACCTTTAAGGACACCAATTTTCTTTTCTTTTTTATTCCTCTTTTTAGTCAACTTTAGCATGGGATCATAAGCTTATGAGCACCACTGTATACTGTGCTGAACATCCAGGCTATGTGAGACACAAAGGCTAACTTAAACACTAAAGACTTTATGCATCCCTGCCCATTTTAAGTGGAACTGAAGTATTTGTACTATACATGGATACATTGCATATACCTGTGCATCACATAGACAACAATACTGTACAAAGCCAACAAACACATTGGTCTGTTTGCCTTCAGGGACTCCTCTCAACAGCAGCTGCAAGAAGCAACAGGAGCCAAAAGACCCAGAACAGCTTTGAGAGAAGAGGAGAAGCAGAGGCTGTCTGAAGAGGTCTGCAACACCATCCTGGATCACACCAAAGAAAGGTTATCTTTCTCTGGCCACCTTGTGAGTGCTACCTTACTGCAAGCAGACATGTTTGAAAGGTACTGCCATTCAAAAAAATAAAAAATCTGTTCATGTTCATTTTTACAAATCTATACAATTGGCCAGAATATGGTTGTTCATATTTACAAATCTATACAATTGGCCAGAATATGGTTGTTCATTTTTACAAAGCCATACATATTGTTTATGCAGTGTTGAGGAATGTGAAAGAACACCCTTGATTATTTTTACTGTGATAACTTATTTTGCTTTTGTAAGCCAACACTTTTGAGATCAGTCAATAAATGCTTCTGGTATTGACTTATATGCTGCCCCTGTCTTCATGTTGTTGCTGGACATATCTTTTTAAAAATGTGTGTAGGTCACCTAAATCATCAGAAAAATTGCCCCTCCTGAGAATTTTTTCAGGAGCCGCCACTGAGTACAGATCAGGGTTGGGTTATAAAAAAATATCTGAAACTTTGAACATCCCACAGAGCACCATTGAATCCATTATTTAAAAAATGGAAAGAGTATGGGACCACAACAAACCTGCCAAGAGAGGGCCGCTCACCAAAACTCACCGACCTGGCAAGGAGGGCATTAATCAGAGAGGCAACAAAGAGACCAAAGATAACCCTGAAGTAGCTGCAAAGCTCCACAGCGGAGATTGTAGTATCTATCCATAGGACCACTTTAAGCCGTACACTCCACAGAGCTGGACTTTACGGAAGAGTGGCCAGAAAAAAGCCATTGCTTACAGAAAAAAATAAGCAAACAGGTTTGGTATTCGCCAAAAGCCATGTGGGAAACTCCCCAAACATATGGAAGAAGGTACTCTGGTCAGATGAGACTAAAATTGAGCTTTTTGCCCATCAAGGAAAACGCTACGTCTGGCGCAAACCCAACACCTCTCATCACCCAGAGAACACCATCCCCACAGTGAAGCATGGTGGTGGCAGCATCATGCTGTGGGGATGTTTTTCATCGGCAGGGTCAGAATTTAAGGAATGATGGATGGCGCTAAATACAGGGAAATTCTTGAGGGAAACCTGTTTCTGTCTTCCAGAGATTTGAGACTGGGACAGAGGTTCACCTTCCAGCAGGACAATGACCCTAAGCATACTGCTAAAGCAACACTTGAGTGGTTTAAGGGGAAACATTTAAATGTCTTGAAATGGCCTAGTCAAAGCCCAGACCTCAATCCAATTGAGAATCTGTGGTATGACTTAAAGATTGTACACCAGTGGAACCCATCCAACTTGAAGGAGCTGGAGCAGTTTTGCCTTGAAGAATGGGCAAAAATCCCAGTGGCTAGATGTGCCAAGCTTATTGAGACATACCCCAAGCGACTTGCAGCTGTAATTGCTGCAAAAGGTGGCTCTACAATGTATTGACTTTGGGGGGGTGAATAGTTATGCACGCTCAAGGTTTCAGTTTTTTAGTCTTATTTCTTGTTTGTTTCACAGTAAAAAATATTTTGTATCTTCAAAGTGGTAGGCATGTTGTGTCAATCAAATGATACAAACCCCCCCAAAAATCAATTTTAATTCCAGGTTGTAAGGCAACAAAATAGGAAAAATGCCAAGTGGGGTTAATACTTTCGCAAGCCACTGAAAGTATTCACACCGCTGAGTCAATACATGTTAGAATCACATTTGGCAGTGATTACAGCTGTCTTTCTGGGTAAGTCTCTAAGATCTTTCCACACCTGTATTGTACAACATTTGCCTATTATTCTTTTCTAATTTCTTCAAGCTCTGTCAAATTGGTTGTTGATCATTGCTAGACAACCATTTTCAAGTCTTGCCATTGACTTTCAAGCTGATTTCTAAAGTGGAAGTTGGGAGAGTTATATTTGAGTGTTTCAGTGAAAGGTAAGTGAGGGAGGCCCCGCTCTCTCGCTTCCCCAGATGTTTAGTTAATTTTATTCCAATCTCTTTTGCATTATTGTAGCCTTTTCTGTAGCCTGTCAACTATGTGTCTGTCTATCCCTGTTCTCTCCTCTCTGCACAGGCCATACAAACGCTTCACAACGCGTGGCTGCTGCCACTCTAATCTGGTGGTCCCTGCACGCACGACCCACGTGGACTTCCAGGTCTCCGGCAGCCTCTGGAACTGCAGTTCTGCGGCCAACAAGGCAGAGTTCATCTCAGCCTATGCTACCCTCCAGTCCCTCGACTTCTTGGCGCTGACGGAAACATGGATTACCACTGAAAACACTGCTACTCCTACTGCTCTCTCCTCGTCTGGCCATGTGTTCTCGCATACCCCGAGAGCATCTGGTCAGCGGGGTGGTGGCACAGGAATCCTCATCTCTCCCAAGTGGACATTCTCTCTTTTTCCCCTGACCCATCTGTCTATCTCCTCATTTGAATTCCATGCTGTCACAGTCACTAGCCCATTCAAGCTTAACATCCTTGTCATTTATCGCCCTCCAGGTTCCCTTGGAGAGTTGAGAGTTCATCAATGAGCTTGACGCCTTGATAAGTTCCTTTCCTGAGGATGGCTCACCCCTCACAGTTCTGGGTGACTTTAACCTCCCTACGTCTGCCTTTGACTCATTTCTCTCTGCCTCCTTCTTTCCACTCCTTTCCTCTTTTGACCTCACCCTCTCACCGTCCCTCCCTACTCACAAGGCAGGCAATACGCTTGACCTCATCTTTACTAGATGCTGTTCTTCTACTAATCTCACTGCAACTCCCCTCCAAGTCTCCGACCACTACTTTGTATCCTTTTCTCTCTCGCTCTCCTTCAACACTACTCACTCTGCCCCTACTCAGATGGTAATGTGCCATCGCAACCTTCGCTCTCTTTCTCCCGCTACTCTCTCCTCTTCCATCCTATCATCTCTTCCCTCTGCTAAATCCTTCTCCCTCCGGTCTCCTGATTCTGCATCCTCAACCCTCCTCTCCTCCCTTTCTGCATCTTTTGACTCTCTATGTCCAGTGTAGCGCAGTTGGTAGAGCATGGTGCTTGCAACGCCAGGGTTGTGGGTTCGATTCCCACGGGGGCCAGTATAATAAATAAATAAAAATAATGTATGCACTCAATAACTGTAAGTCGCTCTGGATAAGAGCGTCTGCTAAATGACTGAAATGTAAAATATCCTCCCGGCCGGCTCGGTCCTCCCCTCCTGCTCCGTGGCTTGACAAGTCATTGCGAGCTCACAGAACAGGGCTCCGGGCAGCCGAGCGGAAATGGAGGAAATCTAGACTCCCTGCGGACCTGTCATCTTTTCACTCCCTCCTCTCTACATTTTCTTCCTCTGTTTCTGCTGCTAAAACCACTTTCTACCACTCTAAATTTCAAGCCTCTGCCTCTAACCCTAGGAAGCTCTTTGCCACCTTCTCCTCCCTGCTGAATCCTCCTCCTCCTCCCCCTCCCTCCTCCCTCTCTGTGGATGACTTCGTCAACCATTTTGAAAGAAGGTTGACAACATCCGATCCTCATTTATTAAGTCAAATGACACCGCTGGTCCTGCTCACACTGCCCTACCCTATGCTTTGACTTCTTTCTCCCCTCTCTCTCCAGATGATATCTTGCGACTTGTGATAGCCGGTCGCCCAACAACCTGCCCGCTTGACCCTATCCCCGCTTCTCTTCTCCAGACCATTTCCGGAGACCTTCTCCCTTACCTCACCTCACTCATCCTTGACCGCTGACTATGTCCCTTCCGTCTTCAAGAGAGCAAGAGTTGCACCCCTCCTCAAAAAACCTACACTCGATCCCGCCGATGTCAACAACTACAGACCAGTATCCCTTCTTTCTTTTCTCTCCAAAACTCTTGAGCCGTCTCCAGCCAACTCTCCTGATATCTCTCTCAGAATGACCTTCTTGGTCCAAACCAGTCAGCTTTCAAGACTGGTCATTCAACTGAGACTGCTCTTCTCTGTGTCACGGAGGCTCTCCGCACTGCTAAAGCTAACTCTCTTTCCTCTGCTCTTATCCTTCTAGACCTATCTGCTGCCTCTGATACTGTGAACCATCAGATCCTCCTCTCCACCCTCTCCGAGTTGGGCATCTCCGGCGCTGCTCACTCTTGGATTGCGTCCTACCTGACAAGTCGCTCCTACCAGGTGGTGTGGCGAGAATCTGTCTCCGCACCACGTGCTCTCACCACTGGTGTCCCCCAGGGCTCAGTTCTAGGCCCTCTCCTGTTCTCTCTATACACCAAGTCACTTGGCTCTGTCATATCCTCACATGGTCTCTCCTATCATTGCTACGCAGACGACACACAATTAATTTTCTCCTTTCCCCCTTCTGATAACCAGGTGGCGAATCTCATCTCTGTATATCTGGCAGACATATCAGTGTGGGTGTCGGATCACCACCTCAAGCTGAACCTCGGCAAGACGGAGCAGCTCTTCCTCCCGGGGAAGGACTGCCCACTCCATGATCTCGACATCACGGTTGACAACTCCATTGTGTCCTCCTCCCAGAGTGCAAAGAACCTTGGTGTGACCCTGGACAACACCCTGTCGTTCTCCACTAACATCAAAGCTGTGACCCGATCCTGCAGGTTCATGCTCTACAACATTCGCAGAGTACGACCCTACCTTACACAGAAAGTGGCACAGGTTCTATTCCAGGCACTTGTCATCTCCCGTCTGGATTACTGCAACTTGCTGTTGGCTGGGCTCCCTGCCTGTGCCTTTAAACCCCTACAACTTATCCAGAACGCTGCAGCCCGTCTGGTGTTCAACCTTCCCAAGTTCTCTCATGTCACCCCGCTCCTCTGCACACTCCACTGGCTTGGCTTCCAGTTGAAGCTCGCATCTGCTACAAGTCCATGGTGCTTGCCTACGGAGCTGTGATGGGAACGGCACCTCCTTACTTTCAGGCTCTGATCAGACCCTACACCCAAACGAGGGCACTACGTTCATCCACCTCTGGCCTGCTAGCCCCCCTACCTCTACGGAAGCACAGTTCCCGATCAGCCCAGTCAAAGCTATTTGCTGCTCTGGCACCCAAATGGTGGAACAAGCTCCCCCACGACGCCAGGACAGCGGAGTCACTGACCACCTTCCGGAGACACTTGAAACCCTACCTCTTTAAGGAATACCTGGAATAGTATAACAGTCATCCTTCTACTTCTATTCTGTACAGACTTCCTTCTTTTCACTCTGTCAATTAGGTTAGTATTGTGGAGTAACTACAATGTTGTTGATCCATCCTCAGTGTTTCTTATATCACAGCCATTAAACTCTTTAACTGTTTTAAAGTCACCATTGGCCTCATGGTGAAATCCCTGAGTTGTTTCCTTCCTCTCCGGGAACTGAGTTAGGAAGGACACCTGTATCTTTGTAGTGACTGTGTGTATTGATACACCATCCAAAGTGTAATGACTAACTTCACCATGCTCAAATGGATATTCAATGTCTGCTTTTTTTTTACTCATATATAAATAGGTGCCCTTCTTCGCGAGGCATTGGAAAACCTTCCTGGTCTTTGTGGTTGAATCTGTGTTTGAAATTCACTGCTCGACTGAGGGACCTTACAGATAATTATAGATGAAGTAGCCATTAGAAAATCATATTAAACAGTATTATTGAACACAGAGTCCATGCAAATTATTATATGACTTGTTAAGCACATTTTTACACCTGAACTTATTTAGGCTTGCCTTAAAAAAGGGGTTGAATACTTATTGACTGAAGACATTTCAGCTTTTCATTTTTAATACATTTGTGATAATTTTGAAAAAAAAAAAAAACGTAATTCCACTTTGACATTATGGGGTATTGTGTGTAGGCCAGGGGAAAATCTCCATTTAATCAATTTAAATTCAGGCTGTAACACAACTAAATGTTGGAAAAGTCAAGGGGTGTGAATATTTTCTGAAGGCACTGTACACTCACATAATATGATCTACCTGCCACCATGTTGTCTCACATCTCCACCATGGTGTGTGCGTTTACTCACTACAGGCATGTTGGACAGGGCGGTGTGTGCTGGGCTCCTCTTGATACTGATAGAGTAGTTAGCCTTGAAGCTAGGCTCATCAAAACAGGGAAACGCCATCCGAGCACTGGTGGGCTCAAAATGAGTGGAGGCCAGGGTCCTGGAGAGATAGAGGTAGGGGAGAGATAGGGGGGATGGTGGAATGGCGGGAGAGAGAGAGAAAATACAAGGAGTTTCATGTGATGTCTCTCCTCATACCAGTAGTTTCTGCGTTTGGATGAGGAGTGTCAGCCTTTCTCCCCTACATAACCTACACATAGCCCGTATACATAGAGTATACGTCACACACATACACACACACACATGCACACAAACACACACATTCCGTACCGTGTCTCTCCGGTGCTGGTTCTGTAGGTGCCTCTGTAGACGCCGTAGAAGCCCTCTCCTAGATCCGCCCCAAACTCCAGAAACAGGAAGTACTTCTGCCCACCGCTGAGCACTCTGGGTGAGAATATGGCAACCTGCTCATGGGTAGGGTTGTGGAGAACAGGGAGAACCTGAGGACACACACAAACAGGAACACACGCGGTAGTAATTAGACGGACATGTCAGAGAAGGCAGAAACTGGGCATGATAGTTTAGTGCTGAGGGAGTAGCTTACCTGGTCTGACAGGTGAGCCAGGTTCTAATCCAGCACGGTTGCCATAGTGATACGAAGCCCCTTGCTGTGCAGCACCACCCAGTTGGTATTGTTCTGAACCTGGAACTCTATCCTGACGGTACCGCTGTACCTGAGAATGGTGAGGTTAGGGTGGAGCAGGGGGTGGTAGTGGAGCGGAACAATGTACCCCGGAAGACGGAGGCGGCTCCAAGGGAATGAGAGGCTTCCCGTATTCAGGGGAGGCTGCTCCTCAGTGGGGTTAGGGGGCTCAGAGGCCTGGGTCGGGCTAGAGGAGGTCTGGGTCACACCAGCCAGAGACAGGAGGGCCAGAACCAAGAACCTGACCCAGAACATTATGGTGGAAAAGTTGTTGGATGACTACTGTAAAGATCAGGATACTAAAGATCACTCTTGAGAGCAGCAAGTGTTGTGCTGGCATTCAGTTTGTTTTCAGAATGATAGATAAACATTTGGGAGGATATCTGTCAGTCATTAGACCTTAGGAGGAGTGTAGTCTAAGCTTACAGCAACAGGCTAGTAGAATTGGCTTGAAATGTTCAGCAGATCTTTCTCGAAACCTGAAGAGAGAAGAAGGAGCTATGTTATTGTTATTTAAAAACAACAACAGCGGATCTCATCTAGGATCTCACACAGTGAAGTGTTAATGAGTTGTATTAGTTCTGTCTGATTTTATAAAGCCAAGAAGCTGAACAACTGACATTTCGGTCGGGTCGGTAAAGGTTGCTATCTATTCTATGCTATGATACACAGTGTATTACATGTCAACAAATAACATGGTGAGTGGAAGAGATAGCTGGTTGAATAGTTACACTATAGCTGTCCAGGCAGGCTACAATAGAGAAGGACAGGGCTTTCATTGTAATCTGATACTGCTGCTGAGTTAAAACTGGGATAGACACACACAAATGCACACTCAGGGATGGGCAAAAATTACAAAATACAATTACAAAATTCAAGTACAAAATACCCTAAAGATCAATGTATCAAAATATCTACCTTAGTTAAATGCACTGACTGTAAATAGTAAGTCACTCTGGATAAGTGTGTCTGCTAAATGACCAAAATGTAAATGTATATGTGAAAATTAACATACCAAAATGAACTGCAAAGCACACTAGGTATTAATTATTGGTTTTGTTTTGGGGCAGAGCTCATTAGAATAATACTCAGCATGCTTTGCAATTGTTCATTTTTACATATATGTACATTTATAGTTAGTTCATTTAGCAGACGCTCTCATCACACCATAGTGCCATCAGACTTCTGATACCAATGTAGGGTGAAAGGTTACCACAAAATGGTATAGAAAAGTATTTTGAAAATACAAAATACAGCTCTCAAAAGTATCTTGTTACAAAATACATTGGAGTGTAGTTCAGCCCAGTATAATACAAATTACAAAATTCTTAAAAGTAATTGAAATACATATTTCAAATATATGTAACAGAAATACTGCCCATCTCTGTGCACACTCACTCCACACACAGAATCATGCCCTGCTAAACAGCGAAATAACTTGTTTTAACATTAGTAAGTTCAGCACTATCACCATAGAGCAGTAATCATGTTGCCCTAGCACCCCAGCATGTTTCCTGAGTTGGGGGGAGGTCTAGAATGGAGGTTAATTCCATGTTTGAGTAAAGGGGGGGGGTAGAAGGATTACTTTATCCTATCCCAGGTATTCCTTAAAGAGGTGGGGTTTCAAATGTCTCCGGAAGGTGGTGAGTGACTCCGCTGTCCTGGCGTCGTGAGGGAGCTTGTTCCACCATTGGGGTGCCAGAGCAGCGAACAGTTTTGACTAGGCTGAGCGGGAACTATGCTTCCGCAGAGGTAGGGGAGCCAGCAGGCCAGAGGTGGATGAACGCAGTGCCCTCGTTTGGGTGTAGGGACTGATCAGAGCCTGAAGGTACGGAGGTGCCGTTCCCCTCACAGCTCCGTAGGCAAGCACCATGGACTTGTAGCAGATGCGAGCTTCAACTGGAAGCCAGTGGAGTGTGCGGAGGAGCGGGGTGACGTGAGAGAACTTGGGAAGGTTGAACACCAGACGGGCTGCGGCATTCTGGATGAGTTATAGGGGTTTAATGGCACAGGCAGGGAGCCCAGCCAACAGCGAGTTGCAGTAATCCAGACGGGAGATGACAAGTGCCTGGATTAGGACCTGTGCCGCTTCCTGTGTAAGGCAGGGTCGTACTCTCCGAATGTTGTAGAGCATGAACCTACAGGATCGGGTCACCGCCTTGATGTTAGCGGAGAACGACAGGGTGTTGTCCAGGGTCACGCCAAGGCTCTTCGCACTCTGTGAGGAGGACACAACGGAGTTGTCAACCGTGATGGCGAGATCATGGAACGGGCAGTCCTTCCCCGGGAGGAAGAGCAGCTCCGTCTTGCCGAGGTTCAGCTTGAGGTGGTGATCCGTCATTCATACTGATATGTCTGCCAGACATGCAGAGATGCGATTCGCCACCTGGTTATCAGAAGGGGGAAAGGAGAAGATTAGTTGTGTGTCATCAGCGTAGCAATGATAGGAGAGGCCATGTGAGGATATGACAGAGCCAAGTGACTTGGTGTATAGCGAGAATAGGAGAGGGCCTAGAACTGAGCCCTGGGGGACACCAGTGGTGAGAGCACGTGGTGCGGAGACAGCTTCTCGCCACGCCACTTGGTAGGAGCGACCGGTCAGGTAGGACGCAATCCAAGAGTGAGCCGCGCCGGAGATGCCCAGCTCGGAGAGGGTGGAGAGGAGGATCTGATGGTTCACAGTATCAAAGGCAGCAGACAGGTCTAGAAGGACAAGAGCAGAGGAGAGAGAGTTAGCTTTAGCAGTGCGGAGAGCCTCTGTGACACAGAGAAGAGCAGTCTCAGTTGAATGATCAGTCTTGAAACCTGACTGGTTTGGATCAAGAAGGTCATTCTGAGAGAGATAGCAAGAGAGTTGGCTAAAGACGGCACGCTCAATAGTTTTGGAGAGAAAAGAAAGAAGGGATACTGGTCTGTAGTTGTTGACATCAGAGGGATCGAGTGTTGGTTTTTTGAGAAGGGGTGCAACTCTCGCTCTCTTGAAGACGGAAGGGACATAGCCAGCGGTCAAGGATGAGTTGATCAGCGAGGTGAGGTAAGGGAGAAGGTCACCGGAGATGGTCTGGAGAAGAGAGGAGGGGATAGGGTCAAGCGGGCAGGTTGTTGGGCGGCCTGCCGTCACAAGTCGCAAGATTTTATCTGGAGAGAGAGGGGAGAAAGAAGTCAAAGCATAGGGTAGGGCAGTGTGAGCAGGACCATCAGTGTCATTTGACTTAACAAACGAGGATCGGATGTCGTCACCCTTCTTTTCAAAATGGTTGACGAAGTCATCCACAGAGAGGGAAGAGGGGGGGGGGGGGGGGGGGGGGGATTCAGCAGGGAGAAGAATGTGGCAAAGAGCTTCCTAGGGTTAGAGGCGGATGCTTGGAATTTAGAGTGGTAGAAAGTGGCCTTAGCAGCAGAAACAGATGAAGAAAATGTAGAGAGGAGGGAGTGAGCTCTGGGCTGTTAGCTCTGAGGTGAGAGGCTGATGTGAGAGGCTGATCGTATCAATCATCCATCAAACTAGCCTCCTGACAGTGCCATGGGGTTCCAGAAGTGATGCTTTTGGTAGGAATTTGTTCCAGAACACCAGGCTTCTGTAGAGCATAAGATTTGCGTGCGTGTATGTGTGTGTGTGTGTGTGTGTGTGTGCGTGCAGGTGTACTCTGGGGATGATTGATACGATCAGCCTCTCACCTCAGAGCTAACAGCCCAGAGCTCCAGGTGTCCTCTGTGGTTACCTGTTTACTACTGATCTACTACTGGTAGACTATTGGCCTACTCACACAGTAGAGGACACAACCAGAGAACTCCCTGTTTTTACACTACAGTAAGATCCTATGGACCTCTGAACTATAGACACTGTATCAAGACACATTACTTGATACAGTTAAAATGACTCAGAGGTGAAATGGGTTCTCTCTCCTTCTCTCGCTGTCTCTCTCTTACTCTCCCTCTCAATCTGTGGGGAGATTCCGTGGCGGGTGTGAGGTCACATGACTATGGGCTGATAATCCCCCACAATGCACTGCTACCCAACTCAGTGAAATGTCTCCACCCTGCAGAATGATACTGACAAACAAAAAAATACACTCACTCACTCAAACACTCTCACAACTCATGCACTCTCTCACACACTTTCAAATGCATGCATAACGGCACCATAGAGGAGGATGCTCATCAGCAACATAGACATACCACAGACATGAAACAACGACAAAGGATTCTCCTCTGCCTCCCTATTGTCTACCTTTGGACTGGTGAGTAAAAACGAACTAACTAACTAAAGAGCTGACTGACTAACTAACTAACTAACTAATACTCTTTAACCTTTTACTGCAGTGGGCTAAATCAGGGTCACACAGAGTGATTCTTGGTCGTCTTAAACAAATCTACTTTGAAACATAAGTATACAACTCACACACATGGTTATGGGCTTAGAAAAAGAAGCCACCTGTACCATGTCAGATATAGAGTTGAAATGTATTATATTTTGAGTTTGCATCCCAATATTACACTTTAAATACATCACAGAAGACAGAAATATACTAAACTGTTTTACATAGAAACACTGGATTTTCGGAATTTAAAAAGTATTGAAAAATATGAATGATATTCCACCCACGAGGCCACTAGGTAATTTGACTGCAGGAAAGGGCTACAGATGCATAATCAACTACAGTTTTTTGTTCTCAATAGCTTCAATTATGATGTAAATATATTGAGTAACAAACTAAAAGAATGACTGGTTGAACCTGAGACCATTAGAGACTGTGTTACAGCTCACTCGCACTCTCTTTATCATGCCCCATACCAACAGTGACTTACAGTAGTTTTCTCTTCTCATTCTCCCTCTCTCTCCCCCCTCCCCATCCCCCCTCCACCCTACCACAGTGCTAGTACATTGTGATGTGTTGGCCTCCCTGGCCCCCCCAGTGCACCTGGCAGGTGAGAGGGTGGGCTGGACACTGCTGGTGTGTGTCATCACTGACCTGGGGAGGGGTCACCTGGAGGTCAGCTGGAGGTCACCTGGGGATGGTAGGCACATCAGCACACAAACTCACACACACACACTAGACTAGATGTTACATTTTAGAAAATCTTGCTGTTTTTGCCCTTTCCAGTATGACAGTCTAGTGAATTGACACCTCTGTTCTCTCTGACATGGTCATCTAGTGAGTCCTGCCAGTGCTCCCTACAGTGTGGCCGGAGAGGAACAGGACAGTGGCCGCAGCGCAGTGGCCATAGTAACCGTGGCGACCAGCGAATGGCCGTCATACAGCTGCTTTGTCAGTCACCGCCGCCACGCCAGAGTCATCAGGACACACCATGCCACCTTCACAGGTAGGGCTTGTGTGTGTGTGTGTGTGTGTGTGTGTGTGTGTGTGTCTGCGTGCGTGCGTGCTTTCAAATAACTTGGTATACTATACTGTAGCTCTATTGAAAGAGTGCGATGGTGAACAACTTTTTTCTACAGATGAAGACGGAGAGAGTTGCTATGAACATCACAACAGTGTGTTTCAAGGTAAGCGTAAGCATTCTCAATAACTAAACTGCCATTGAGGTAGTGAGTTTAGTTACAACATTCATTTGTAACAAACAAACATTTATTACAGCTGTGTTCCTCTCTCTCTGCAGCCAGTGGCTTGTGGACTGATCATGTGACTCTACAGGCCTTGAGGCTTCTCCTCCTGAAGACCACCATCTTTAATGCTCTGATCACAGCATGTGCCGTTATAAAGTGGTGAGACCGTAACCCTGACCCCCAACCCTTACCTCTAACCCCAAATTTTAGTTCTCTTTGACCCCTTGGGAGCATAGTGCGTCCACCATGACTCAACCGAGATTACCTGACCCCTAAATCTGCTCTTGACCCCTAACTCTAACCCCTGACTATTTATTTCCAGACATCACTGATCTGTAACATTAACTGTTGGCTGTAATAGTAGTATTTCCTCTTTTCAGATGGTCAGGAGTAGATGAAAAGAGGATTACTTCTATACTATCTTTATAGAGGAGAGAGAGACCATGGTCCACAGAGAGAGGATGTCTTCTAATCTCTACCATGATGATGACCATAGAGGAGATTATGTCCAGTAATGGCTAGGGTCTGCAGAGGATGTCTCCTGGAGTAGCTGCATATGTGTGTGTTTATGAGTTTGGGCGTGCTTCTCAGAAAGATTGCAGGTGTCCCTGTGAATGTTAGGGTGACAGTTACAGTAGCTGTGTGTGTGTGTGTGTGTGTGTGTGTGTGTGTGTGTGTGTGTGTGTGTGTGTGTGTGTGTGTGTGTGTGTGTGTGTGTGTGTGAACAAACCTGTAGTATCTGATCAACTCAGACAGATGTACACATACAGAGACAACTGGCTTCCACTCTGACCTAATTCTCTGTCAGTTAGAAACACTAAGACCAGAGACAATGTGAGATAACATAAGATATGTAAATAAAATGTAAATAAGTTTGAGAACAAAATTATTTGGTCTGTAGATTGATTTCCCTTTTGTCATTGTTTACAATTTCTTTTAAAATAAAAATCTGAAAAAGATACAATGGGTCTCTTTTTCATTTATTGTTATTTAAATAAAACACTTGCACACATTTCATTTTTTTTTTCAAGTTTTCTTTAGTGCCTCCGTAAGAGTAAAACACTGACATAGCAACGGAGCGCCACTAGGTGGCAGTACAATCACATCTGAAACAGCAAGAATATGGAGCGTACCTTCCTCTAACAGACACTACGTTTATAAATAAGTTACGTATTTCAACATTGAGCAGTCACTCTTCACCACACGGACACTCAAACACGATTTAAGAATTCACAATGCCAGAGGCAGACTGAGCATACATTTCCCATCAGACACCGCTTTGTAATTGTATATGAGGGCAATAGGCATATACAGTATATCCCATCAGACACTGCATTGTAGTTTTATCTGAAAGTGTGCTACATCGTCTCGGCCTGTGGGAGTCCCAGTGTTCCATCTACAGCCGGTAGGCAACACTATTCCTGTAGGGCCGCATTGTGTGCAGGCTTCTGTTCCAGCGCAGATATAACTTACCTGGTTTAACTAATCAAACCAATCATCAATATCTTGGTTAGCTGAATCAGGTGTGTTAGTGCTGGGCTGGAACTAAAGCGTGCACCCCTGGTCTACAGTTTACTACTGTCTAGCCATATGTCCCATTGGGGAGCAGCTGTCAGCTCTGGCAGTAGTAGCAAAATAGAGTTAATCTACAGTAGCAAGTTTACTAAGAGTTAGAGATGGGTAGGGAGGGGTCAGGGTGGGGGTTACGGGGTGTTACGGTTTGGGTTTGGAGGGGATGTGTGATCATCATGTTCCAACATATGAAAACTGGAGAACTTGTATGATGAATCACTATATGTGTTTGACTTTGGTTGCAACAGAAAGCAAACTGAACACTCATTGAAAGAGAAAACGCACAACATAGAAAAGCTGATAGTCAATGCTGTTTGGTAAATGGATTGAACTGTTACCGCCAGCTGAAATTTGGGGAAGTAAAAAAAAACAGAGTCAGAGCATGTTATAGTCATTACACCAGTGTGAACAAACAGTGAACAGTGAATATGTTCATAAAGAGTTGCTAAGGGTGACTGACTTTTCAGTCCTCAGACGACAAGTCAGGTAAAACACACGCAAACTTGGGCACAAGCACATACACACTGTATTTGCAGATATACTGTAAAATGTAATTGATTACCAAACATTAAACAGTAATGGTGCGTGAAACTGTTCTGAACAGCTACTATGGTACCATACAGAATACATTCAACAGAAAACATTAATTTACTATAGAACAGAGGCTAAATCAACTCAACTGCCTTTGGAATATCGGCTTTAAAACAGAGGTTCCATCGCACTGTGTTAGTGAGCTGGTTAACTGTCTCAAATGTCTCCCTATTCCCCATATAGTACACTACCTTCGACCCTGCCCTATGTCCCTCTGGTGAAAAGTAGCATATTGCATAAATCAGGTGTCATTTGAGATTTGCACTGTGAGTGAAGAAAACGGCAGATGAAATCCACAGCTTGGGCTGTTGGAGGAGGGGGGTCATTGATACAGCCCCTCAGACTCTAAAAAAGGGTAATGTTAGGGGGAAAGGTTGAGGGGGTGGGGTAGAGAGGGGAGAGGGGAACACTGGTGTGGATTTAGCAAAAAATTAAATAAAGTGCTTCTGTTAAATCAAATTCCTCTGTCTATGAGGTATAAAAAAAAACAATCACATCAAAATCACGCCAAAATAACAACCAAAACTCAACGCCATCCAGCGTTCCTGGATACGTCACTCACACACTATTTACAGTCTGGAGTGTGTTTCTACAATATACACACAAGTTGGGAGTGTTTGTTTGTTTAGGTCTTCCTTTATATACGTGTTATCCTCACATATAGATAGGTCATAATCTCCACGAGGCCTGCTAGGTCCCACATAGCAGAGTGGGGAAGAGTACAGGAGCGTCAAGAAATCTGTTCAGATTCCACCTGTGTGGGCTTGGACCTGTGGGCTTGCAGCTCCTTTGTGGCAGTAATATGCCTCGCGGTGTTCAGTCAACTATTCTCTTTTCACCAAGAAGAAGAAGAGGGTAAATCTCCAGAGGGGTTCTGGTTAGAAGTTTCTCCTAGACACAGATCTAGGATCAGCTTAGGTTACCCTCCCCAATCATAACCATTAGGGCGAAAACACAAAACTGAACATAGATCTGCATCAAGAGGGAACTTTATCCTACAGCTCAGCTAGGAGCTCTATACCAACATACACACACTCACACACACACACACACATATACACACACTCACACACACTCACACACACTCACACACACACGCACACTTACACACACACACAAAAACACGCTATACAGAGTGTGAGCAGTAGGAGCCATGTGATAGGCTGAGAGGTGTGGGCTGAGCTGGGTGGGTAGATCGTCCAGCGCTCGCGGTGGGGGTGGAGACTCTCCATGTCCTTCAGGGCGCTGAACGCTGCTGCCGTAAAGTTAGCATCCCCGGTGGTCAGGAGGTCAAACACACACGAGTGGAAATAAATATCCTGCACTTCAAGCTGCTCCCTGCAGCGTGCCCGCGCATCCTCCACACTGAACCCCTGGGGGGCGCTGTAGGGAGCCGTGTGGGAGTGTGTGTGTGAGGGCTGGCCCTCGCCTTGTGGCTGCTGGAGCTGTAAGCCCAGGGCTAGATGTGGTAGAGGGAGAGGCAGGGACAGGTGACCCCCCCGGTCGATGCGTTCCGAGGTGGGACATCCATTCAGGCAGAGCTGCAGGTCCTGCGTAGCGTCGTAGGCATGGGCCATCTCCTCCGGGATGCGCACCGCCAGGGTCAGGTAGCGCCCCAGCTGCCGTACGATAACCGTCACGCCGATGTAGCCAGCATGCAGCTCCACGTGGCGACCAGGGCTATGCTCCGAGATCCACAGCGCTCGTACCTTCCCGGTAGAGTCAACGTTATTTCCGTTCAGGTTATGGTCAGGGGCCCCGCTGCTCACGGTACCGTCTACAAAGGCAGCGGGCAGGTCATCTGTTACTGCCTGGTACACACGCTGGTCTGTACACTCCTCAAAGGGCTTGAATATGATGGTGATCTATGGACACACAAAAACATAATAAAGTGACCAGGCACACAATAACTTTGATATTTGTATAAAACAGGTTAAAACAGGTTTGCCAGACACTTTATAATATCTTATTAAGTTTATCTTGTAATCCAAACACAGCAAACCCCCATTGTTGGCAGCAAAGAGAACACTGACTGCACACTGACAACTAATATACAATACTAATATACACTGAGTGTACAATACATTAAGGACACCTGCTCTTTCAATGACATAGATTGACCAGGTGAATCCAGGTGAAAGCTATGATCCCTTATTGATGTCACTTGTTAAATCCACTTCAATCGGTGTAGATGAAGGGGAGGAGACAGGTTCAAGAAGGATGAATCGGCCCGTGGTTTAACCTAGTTGATGATCCCTGATATAAACTATAAATGTATTTTACTGAATCGATTATTAGCTGTTTTAATAACCCCATCCTCACAGTCTAAGATTCCCCTAAGTGAGGCAGGGAACCGCTTGGCCAACACAGAGATGCCTTTGTGAGGAACAGAACTGACTTAGTGACGTCTAAAAACACTCTCAGCCTGTGTCTGAGGTGTCTGTGTTGTGTTGTGTGTGTGTGTGCATGTGTTTTGTCGTTTATGGTATGGTGCCCTTCGCTCTCGACAGTAACCTGCTTAAAGCCATATGTGTGTGAAAGGTCTTGGGTCCTCTGCTGACACACAGACAGTGGTTCCTTTCACGCGCCGCTCATTCCAGGGTATTAGAGGTCATGCTATAAGCAGCCATTAGTTAAGTTAAGATTCCAACACCACGTTAGTCACAAGTGTTGGTCACAAGACTCAACTGTTTGCTCTGCTCTCCTCGCACCTGTGAGTGTGAGACTGTGTGTGTTTTCTGCCTCAATGAGAAGAGCTCTTTCTCTGAGACACCGATAGCAGCTCAGAGGTGAATATATACATACACACACACAGGAACGCACACACACACCAGCCATTCAATATAGAACTCTGAAACTAAAACACAAAAAAGTCTAGCAGTCTGCAAAGTCAAAACGCAATACGTAAAGAGGTTTAAAAAAGAGAGAGAAGGCGCTAACTAGGCCAGGCTTCAGCTGCACAGGCACAGCTCTTCATACCAAATGGTTTGTTTATTCTGTACGCCAAACTCAACCTCTTTTCTCCCGTCCCAGACTTCATTCTATATTACATCCTCACAACACTGCTGCTTCAATGGAGAGCTGGGTAAGAACCTCCATCTATCAGACATCTTACAGAAGGAGTACCTCAGGGCATTTACATGTTTTATGTTATATATTAAAACAAAACAATCTTCCTGTATCTATAAGTGTATTGCTTTCTACTTTGTGGACTAGCACCCTTTCTGAAGTATGTAGGAAGGAGTTATTTTTCAAGAGTGCAGAGGCTTTTCTTTCAATATATAGTAATATACAGTAATGATCTCCCTTCACCTTATTGGTCGCCGTGGCGCTGGATCCAGTTACCACTGGAACGTTGGTCACCTGCACGGACAAGTAGTCATTATCAATGAGCGGCCACGCCCCCTCCACCTTGCAGGTCTGGAAGCTGTCCTCAAACGTCCGCAGGTGTGGGTCCCCAAACAGCCCGCAGAACAGGTAGCCCGGCTGCGTGTGAGTGTGTGTGTGAGTGTGAGGGTGTGTGTGAGTGTGAGGGTGTGTGTGAGCGTGCTGGGTGCGGCTGTGGTAGTTGCAGGGCTCTGATTGTATCTCGGGGTGTGTGGAGGAGGTGGGCCCGTCACGGGAGCAGTTTCTTTGGGTCATGAGGTCTGAGATACCCAGGACAGCAGAGTGGAAGACCAGGTTGCCCCTGCAGGACTTGGCTGTCCTCTGTGTGCAGGCACTGTAGGCCCTCAGAGCCTTACAGAATTCTACGTCAAAGCCATCCAGCGCTGGGGTCAGGTGAGACGTCAGGGACACAAAGTCTGTGGTGCACTTCTGGATACGACACTGAGGGGTGGCCACCTGGCACTGACCTGGAGAAACACACACATACTAACAGTCAGTACTATAGTACAACTACAATGTTATTACAGTTCTATTATTACAGCACTTATACAGTGCCAGTGGCCCTGGTAGGGTGGTAATACCATATCTATTGACAGGCTATTCATGTCATATAGAATATCAATGTTCATTCCTGGTACCAAAGACATATAGAGAACATGTGGTACAGCTGAAATGTGGCTAAAATAGAAGGTCATAGTCATGGGGTTTTGGCATTGGTATGACATACATTACATCTTCAGGGAAGCTCTCGTTTTCATACACACACACACACACACAAACACACACACACACACACACACACACACACCCAAACACACACACACACACACCCACACACACAAACACAACACACACACACACCACACACACAACACAACACCAAACACACACACAGGGTCATGAGTTTGGTTAGGGGTGTTGAAGGAAGGCTTGGATCGCTATAATGGCCCAAATTAACACACACAACACTACTGACCGGGCTGTTTCCAGAATTAGAACCACATAAAGCAGACGAAAGAACAGCTGTTGTGTGTGTGTGTTGGTGTGTGTGTGTGTGTGTGTGTGTGGGTGTGTGTGTGTGTGTGTGGTGTACAGTAACACCGGATTTATTACTTTTAATAACCAGAACAAAAGAGCAGCGCTGAGAGACTAAGACAAGATACTTGCCGACCTTCCCACAGAGCCAGTGATAAGACTGAGACGGAAGACTTGGCAGTAACCTTCCCACAGAAATAGACACAACAGGATTCAGCTTCCACAGGTAGGTAGATGAACGGAGCTTGATCCTTTCCCATGGCCCAAATAAACGAACTCAACACTACTACCTCAGATTAGATCAGATAAGTCGAGACTGATACAGAGCAGGTAGTTGGAGAGTTGCGTTTCGTCGTGTGAGACTGAGACGTGTTGTGCTTTCGTAGGGGTTAGATAGTACAGTACAACGATTTCAGACTTTTCCAAACCAGAACAAAGAGCAGCGCTGAGAGATAATGACCAGAGACTTGCAGACCTTCCCACAGAGCCAGGGATAAGACTGAGACGGAGACTTGCAGACCTTCCCACAGAGCCAGAGATAAGACTGAGACGAGAGACTTGCAGGCCTTCCCACAGAGCCAGGATAGGACCTGAGAGAGACTTGCAGACCTTCCAACAGAACCAGAGATATGACTGAGACAGAGACTTGCAGACCTTCCCACAGAGCCAGAATAAGACTGAGACGGAGACTTGCAGACCTTCCCACAGAGCCAGAGATAAGACTGAGTCGGAGACTTGCAGACCTTCCCACAGAGCAAGAGATAAGATTGAGACAGAGACTTGCAGATCTTCCCACAGAGCCAGAGATAAGACTGAGACTGAGACAGAGACTTGCAGACTTTCCCACAGAGCCAGAGATAAGACTGAGACAGAGACTTGCAGACCTTCCCACAGAGCCAGAGATAAGACTGAGACAGACTTGCAGACCTTCCCACAGAGCCAGAGATAAGACTGAGACTGATACAGAGACTTGCAGGCCTTCCCACAGAGCCAGAGATAAGAGTGAGACAGACTTGCAGACCTTCCCACAGAGCCAGAGATAAGACTGAGACAGACTTGCAGACCTTCCCACAGAGCCAGAGATAAGACTGAGACAGACTTGCAGACCTTCCCACAGAGCCAGAGATAAGACTGAGACAGACTTGCAGACCTTCCCCAGAGCCAGAGATCAGACTGAGACCGAGACTTGCAGACCTTCCCACAGAGCCAGAGATAAGACTGAGACAGACTTGCAGACCTTCCCACAGAGCCAGAGATAAGACCGAGACAGACTTGCAGACCTTCCCACAGAGCCAGAGATCAGACTGAGACCGAGACTTGCAGACCTTCCCACAGAGCCAGAGATAAGACTGAGACAGACTTGCAGACCTTCCCACAGAGCCAGAGATAAGACTGAGACAGACTTGCATACCTTCCCACAGAGCCAGAGATAAGACTAAGACAGACTTGCATCCCTTCCCACAGAGCCAGAGATAAGACTGAGACAGACTTGCAGACCTTCCCCAGAGCCAGAGATCAGACTGAGACCGAGACTTGCAGACCTTCCCACAGAGCCAGAGATAAGACTGAGACAGACTTGCAGACCTTCCCACAGAGCCAGAGATAAGACTGAGACAGACTTGCAGACCTTCCCACAGAGCCAGAGATCAGACTGAGACCGAGACTTGCAGACCTTCCCACAGAGCCAGAGATAAGACTGAGACAGACTTGCAGACCTTCCCACAGAGCCAGAGATAAGACTGAGACAGACTTGCAGACCTTCCCACAGAGCCGGAGATAAGACTAAGACAGACTTGCAGACCTTCCCACAGAGCCAGAGATAAGAGTGAGACAGACTTGCAGACCTTCCCACAGAGCCAGAGATAAGACTGAGACAGACTTGCAGACTTTCCCACAGAGCCAGAGATAAGACTGAGACAGACTTGCAGACCTTCCCACAGAGCCAGAGATAAGACTGAGACAGACTTGCAGACCTTCCCCAGAGCCAGAGATCAGACTGAGACCGAGACCTGCAGACCTTCCCACAGAGCCAGAGATAAGACTGAGACAGACTTGCAGACCTTCCCACAGAGCAAGAGATAAGACTGAGACAGACTTGCAGACCTTCCCACAGAGCCAGAGATCAGACTGAGACCGAGACTTGCAGACCTTCCCACAGAGCCAGAGATAAGACTGAGACAGACTTGCAGACCTTCCCACAGAGCCAGAGATAAGACTGAGACAGACTTGCAGATCTTCCCACAGAGCCAGAGATAAGACTAAGACAGACTTGCAGACCTGCCCACAGAGCCAGAGATAAGACTGAGACAGACTTGCAGACCTTCCCACAGAGCCAGAGATCAGACTGAGACAGACTTGCAGACCTTCCCACAGAGCCAGAGATCAGACTGAGACAGACTTGCAGACCTTCCCACAGAGCCAGAGATTAGACTGAGACAGACTTGCAGACCTTCCCACAGAGCCAGATAGGACTGAGATAGAGAGTGAAAGAATAACAGATCACACACATCCACATCTGATAACTGTTACATAATATTATATGCTGCCTGATTAAGCTTTTCCTTCTCCAGACCACCATGTTTATGGCCTCAAAATAATGCACCCACATGGGGGAAAAAAATCCAGAGTGCATTTTTAAGAGCTCAGAGACACCATCATGAGGAACTGCTAAAAGCTGCGGTGGCCACAGACCGCAGTGTGTTAGCGAACACTTGGATCTAGAAGTTCTTCAGAGCTCTCGGTGTCAGGCTGTAGTCCGCAGTGACCTCTGCCCCAGGCCTCTAGCCAATGGAGGAAAAGAAAACACTTTGGAATGATTCACTGATTACATCTATACAGCAGTAAAGGCCATATAGAGATGGTTCAGCCAGCGATAATGTTTTCCTATGTAGTGCAGCATTTTGGTCAATGTACTGCAGCAGTAGTTCATCTAGGCTTGGAAAATAGAGGCCTGTTAAGGCTGAGAGAAGAGGGGGAGAGAGAAGAGGAAGAGATAAGAGAAGGAGAGGCCAGGCCTAATGCATCAGCCACAGTGAGCTCCTATTAGATTAGACCAGAGGCTCTAACACACACACACATAACTATCTCTGAGAGAATACTGGCTCTGCTTCCGCTGCCAACAACACACACTGTCAGAGCTCATCTGATTATGGCATGATTTACTAACAGACACCAGCAAACCAGGGTTTGGAACCAAAATTATTTTCCAATCATTCCGTTCTGAGCAGAACCCCTATTTATTTTGTACCGTTCCAGTGTTCCAACCAGCATTGTAAAGTTCTGAACCGTTTCGAACCAAATAAAAGTAACTGTTCATATAGTTCATTGTTCCCCAGGAAATCAACATAGTTTCTACATTTAGCTCATTAATTTACCACCCACCAATTTACATGGATACAGCACCTTGCTATGGAACGGGTAAGCTAGTTGTTTACATGTTTGATGGACAGATAAGTGCAGGCGCGAGATGTGATTGAAATTCCACGGGTGGGGAGAGAGCGAGAGAAAGTGGTGGACATGGAGGGGGTTTGTCTTGAAGCACTGAGCATCATGATGGGTTGGAATGTGTTTACACTATTACTATAATCATAACTTCAATGATTTACAGAATGATATACCAGACACTAGGAGTATTTTTTGGAACAAAAAATAACATTATTTACCGTTTCTCAAGATCTGAATATAACAGTTCTGTTCCGAACCACTAGAGATCACTTTCGGTTTTCTGTTCTGGTTCAAACCCCTGCAGCAAACACACACACACACATATATACACACACACACACAACATAGGCCCATTCACACACACGTCACACAGAACTTATGCTAACAATAGGCCTAGTTCCCCTGGTGTATACAGAGGTAAAGCAAACACATCCATGGTTCTCCTGGTGTGAATGCACTCAACCATAAGATGAAGGGGTAACAGAGAAGAAGAGGAATGTTTGCAGAAAGTCAATGCTCTCTCTCTCTCTCAGGGCTGTGTGGTGAGAGGGTTGTGTGTGTGTGTGTGTGTGTGTGTGTGTGTGTGTGTGTGTCAGTACCCGGTCCTACCAGGTGGAGACAGTAGTGTGCTGAGTATTAGAGGGAGGGTACACAATATAACACATCCAACTCACACTCTGGATCAGAATCTCCCTTCAGTGTGTTAAATACTGACACTACTCCTCAACAAACACACAGCCACATACACACAAACACACACAGCTTCTGACACCTTAGAGGCCTAGACCCAGAGCCACATATAGAATTAGAAATAATTGACTGGATCCAACTCTCTTTTTACAGTATGACTCTGATGAGTTTACTATTTACATTTACATTTTAGTCATTTAGCAGACGCTCTTATCCAGAACGACTTACAGTTAAGTGAGTGCATACATTTTCATACTGGCCCCCCGTGGGAAACGAATCCACAACCCTGGCATTGCAAACGCCATGCTCTACCAACTGAGCTACATCCTGCCGGCCATTCCCTCCCCTACCCTGGACGACGCTGGCTAATTGTGCGCCGCCCCATGGGTCTATGTGGTGCAGGTGACTCTCAGACTACAGAGATAATACAGCCATATCCCTCTGCACTCTCAGTCTTCTCAGGCTCCATATTGGCTAATCTCTGGGGTTAGAGGTCATCTCTCACCTATCTCACAGGTCAAGGTGCCCAGACACACACACATGTCCAACTGCTCTTATCACACAGTCTAGTCTATTTTCAACGTTTCAAGCAAAAAAAAAACATTCGCTCAGCTTACCCATGCTGTTGTTTTAGCGGAATTCTGTTTAATTAATCTGTTTAGTTGAAAATATTCACATATTTTTTACATTTTACATTTTAGTCATTTAGCAGACGCTCTTATCCAGAGCGACTTACAGTTAGTGAGTGCATACATTATTTTTTAAAATTATATTTTCATACTGGCCCCCCGTGGGAATCGAACCCCCAACCCTGGCGTTGCAAACGCCATGCTCTACCAACTGAGCTACATCCCTGCCAGCCATTCCCTCCCCTACCCTGGACGACGCTGGGCCAATTGTGCGCCGCCCCATGGGTCTCCCGGTCGCGGCCGGCTACGACAGAGCCTGGATTCGAACCAGGATCTCTAGTGGCACAGCTAGCACTGCGATGCAGTGCCTTAGACCACTGCGCCACTCGGGGGAACTGAGTGGCGCATCAACAAAGTAATCTCTAATGAGATGGCTTGCCCAACCAACACGTGGAGTGTGGCCATACAGTAGGTAGGTATCTATGGGTGGATCAATCTCGACCTGTCCCATCTCACACTGATTTTTACTGAAATAAGGAAGTCAAATAACAGCTGGATGCCACACACACACACACCCACATGCTGCAGATCTTATCATCTGACCCTCCCAGGCTTCCAACATGGACAAATGTGTTTTCTATGTCCCAGTATTTACAGAATGACACATTCAAACTTCTAGTGAGAGATCCAACCTCATCCCCACTCAGCACCATTGTGGGCAGAGGTCAAAACATAGCCCACCCCTCTCCCTGTCCAGGAGTCATGTCTCCTCCCAGCCACTGATCAGACAAGCCTCAAGCTTCACAGGCCGAACCTCTAAGTGTTTATGGATCCAGACCCCTTGGATGCAGAGATTACTGTTCTCTCTCTCTCTCTATCTCTCTCTCTCTCTCTCTCTCTCACACACACACACACAAGAGTTACCCACAGATACAGTGAACAACTAAACACATTTTAATTCTCAGGCTGAATCTTGAGATTAAACCTCTACGCCAAACACATGTACGTCTCCAGTGCTTTCTGATCACACAGGTCTTTGTGCAGTGAGTCTAGTCTGAACATACTGATAACTGTGACTGACTGTGGGACAATACACAGCTGCTCTGGCCTCCGCTTCAGAGACACTTCCGTTTCAGTCCCCTCTCTAACTCACACACACACAGGGCACTATCAAACAATAACACAGAGGACAGGAGGTCCAATTCCAATACACTCCCATAGGCTACAACACACACAGGCCTATAGGACATACACTATTGCACCCCTTAAACCACATGGAAGACTAATTCCAATCCCACCCCACTGGGCACACACTGGTTGAATCAACGTTTTTTGAACCAACGTGGAATAGACGATGAATTGACATCTGTGTCCAGTGGGACATTCTTAGTTTTGTCATTATTAACTGGTTATTAACTATTTATTAGCCTATAACTGTTATGGCACATTTGCAGCGCACGAGCTGAAGTTATCCGCGTACAAGGTACTAGGTCCCGATTTAGGCTACCGAGAATGAACAACATCCGAAGTTATCTAGTTACCACCTCTGTGAGCCCCGTAGCAGAGAGCAAGGAGCAGCAGCAGCAACGGTCGCAGGCGGGGCACCCTCGGCGGGGATGCGAGGCGCTCAGCCCCGCGGTAACAACATCCGGCTCTCCCCATCCCCGTCCATGCAGGGCCAGGTGGGAAGAGGGGACAGTCAGCCACGGGGGAGAGGCGTGAGGGGCGGCGGCGGCGGGGTTTCCGAGAAGTCAGGCCTCTGCTCTCCTTCTCCCTCCCTCTCTTCTCCTTCTTCCTCGCTCTTCTCTCCTTCCACTCCTCCTCGAGTGCGTAGGGGCATTAAAGCGCAGCTGCTCCGCGGAATGCGATCCGTTAGGGCGGTGGAAAGGAAAGGAGAGGAAAAGGGAAAAACTAAGTTGCAATAGAAAAATACAAGTCCTTCCAGCAACAGAAACACTTTCACTCCTTCTTCGTCCCCTGCGTCAGATTTCCTTCCCAGACCATGCCGTGTCTCTAGTAGCGCTATTCCGTCGTGGCTGAGTTGATTCTTGTTGTAGCGATCAATCTCGGCTCCTCTCTCTCTCTCCCTCTCTCTACCTCACCTCAGAATCCTGCCCCTCTCCTCTCTGTTGCTTCGATCGATGGGAGAGACCTAAGGACACTGCTGACCTGCAAACTACAAACTAAAATCTAAAACTGATCCTTACCCTAACCTTAACCCTTACCCTTACCTAATTTTCACCAATTCTGAAATTAAATATCAGTTTGCAGGTCAGGAGTGTCCATATAGCCTTTTCACAGATGGATAGCACAGATTATCCATTATTGACCAGATACTCAAGTGGCCGCTCTAACAATGGAAATAAGCGTCTTTAAAAATGGAAGGCAGTCGGGAGGAGGCAAGATCAGTTGGGACCATTCTAGCCAATGAGAGGGCAGATACGAGTGTGAACAACGGGCACAACTCCGATATAAAGTGTTTTTTATCAAAGTTGCCGGGATGTCACGTGTCCTACTTATATCAGTAAACTCGTAATAACCTAAGTATTACGACATTTTTATTCAATTAAATAAGCCTAACGTATCAAATAAGCCATTCAAATTTTTGCTGACCAAATTCGACACTCTCATGACCTCCCATACACAAAAATCTCTTTGGATAGCGAATGAACCAGACCGTTGGCGCAAAACCCTCCTCTGAGAGAGCAGGACCGGCCCCGCCTCTTGGCTTCCCGGGAGAGAGAGAAAGAGAGCGAGAGAGAGAAAGAGAGCGAGAGAGAGAGAAAGAGAGCGAGAGAGAGAAAGAGAGAGAGCGAGAGAGTGAGAGGAATAGTGAAACAGTGCATGTTATTTTGAAAACATGATTTATTGACGCAATAAGGCATTTAAAGTCATTGTTTATCATCTTATCAGTAGGCTATCAACGTCTATTGCTGTTGTTAGCTTGAAAAACGTTTCATTTCCAGAAGTAAGACAAAGACCTACAGACAATGTGAAGTTTTACAAGCCCTCATGATTATGACAACGCTATTGTAGCGAAACGTGCTCAAACCGACACTTTTAATATACACATTTATGACCCCTCTCTCTGCCTCATGGTCCACTTCCTGTGAGTCTGTCTCAGGTTTCACTGCTTCACAGCGACACTGTGTGTCCCACAGCAGTTCAGCGTATTTTAATGCCGTAGCCAGTTGTACTATGTCTTTCATCTCCTGACAGGTGAGACAGAGACAGAGGCATCGTGGGTGTTGGAGTCCCACTGAGACCCAAACAGCTTTATTATGGAGACTAGCTCAGAGGAGAATATTACACCCCAACCCTTATTGTTACACACCTTCACAGCATCTCATTTCCATTGTTGATGTCTGGAATGCTGAGCCTGCATATGAAACATGTTTTGCAAAAAATCTAATTCCCTCCAACTGTTTTCTCTCTTTTATGATTCTCCCTCTCACCGCTCTCTCTCTCTCGCTCTCTCTCTCTCTCTCTCTCTCTTTCCCCCCCCCCCCCCTCTCTCGCTCTCTTTCTCCCGCTCTCTCTCTCTCCGTCTCTCTCTATCCCCCCCACCCCTCTCTCTCTCTCTCTCCCTCCCTCTCTTCTGTTTGTCTGCTTCCAGACGGATAGGGAGTGTGTGTCTGTGTGGGCTGGTTTGTGACGAGAAAGTGTGTGTTTGCGTGTGTGTGTGTGTGGCTGTTAATCCTCTCCCTTAGTCCAGCCAGAATGTGCCAGGTGTTACGAACAGTTAGACACCAGTGGGAATCACTGTTCACATTAACATCACTGCTGCTCAGTGTGGTCACACTGTGTGTGTGTGTGTGTGTGTGTGTGTGTGTGTGTGTGTGTGTATGTATATATGCATGCATATGGGGGTGTGCGCAAGGGTGTGTGCGTATGGTTGTGTGCGCGTATGGGTGTGAGTGCGTGCGTGCATGTGCTTGCCGGAGTATGGAAAAGAGCTGCTCAGTGGTTGGTGTGCTTTAGGTTGGTGTGTGCTTTAGGATGGTGTGTGTTATAGGTTGGTGTGTGTTATATTTGGTGTGTGTTATAGGTTGGTGTGTGTTATGTTTGGTGTGTGTTATAGGTTGGTGTGTGTTATAGGTTGGTGTGTGTTGTTTTGGTTGGTGTGTGTTACAGTTGAAGTCGGAAGTTTACATACACTTAGGTTGGAGTCATTAAAACTCATTTTCCAACCATTCCACACATTTTTTGTCAACAAACTATAGTTTTGGCAAGTCGGTTAGGACATCTACTTTGTGCATGACACAAGTAATTTTTCCAACATTTGTTTACAGACAGATTATTTCACTTATAATTCACTGTATCACAATTCCAGTGGGTCAGAAGTTTACATACACTAAGTTGACTGTGCCTTTAAACAGCTTGGAAAATTCCAGAAAATGATGTCATGGCTTTAGAAGCTTCTGATAGGCTAATTGACATCATTTGAGTCAATTGGAGGTGTACCTGTGGATGTATTTCAAGGCCTATCTTCAAACTCAGTGCCTCTTTGCTTGACATCATGGGAAAATAAAAATAAATCAGCCAAGACCTCAGAAAAAAAATGTAGACCTCCACAAGTCTGGTTCATCCTTGGGAGCAATTTCCAAATGCCTGAAGGTACCACATTCATCTGTAGGAACAATAGTACGCAAGTATAAACACCATGGGACCACACAGCTGTCATACAGCTCAGGAAGGAGACGCTTTCTGTCTCCTAGAGATGAACGTACTTTGGTGCGAAAAGTGCAAATCAATCCCAGAACAACAGCAAAGAACCTTGTGTAGATGCTGGAGGAAACAGGTACAAAAGTATCTATATCCACAGTAAAACGAGTCCTACATCGACATAACCTGAAAGGCCGCTCAGCAAGGAAGAAGCCACTGCTCCAAAACTGCCATAAAAAAGCCAGACTACGGTTTGCATCTGCACATGGGGATAAAGATCGTACTTTTTGGAGAAATGTCCTCTGGTCTGATGAAACAAAAATAGAACTGTTTGGTCATAATGACCATCATTATGTTTGGAGAAAAAAGGGGGTACCTTGCAAGCCGAAGAACACCATCCCAACCGTGAAGAACGGGGGTGGCAGCATCATGCTGTGGGGGTGCTTTGCTGCAGGAGGGACTGGTGCACTTCACAAAATAGATGGCATCATGAGGAAGGAAATTTATGTGAATATATTGAAGCAACATCTCAAGACATCAGTCAGGAAGTTAAAGCTTGGTCGCAAATGGGTCTTCCAAATGGACAATGACCCCAAGCATACTTCCAGAGTTGTGGCAAAATGGCTTAAGGACAACAAAGTCAAGGTATTGGAGTGGCCATCATAAAGCCCTGACCTCAATCCTATAGAAAATTTGTGGGCAGAACTGAAAAAGCGTGTGCGAGCAAGGAGGCCTACAAACCTGACTCAGTTACACCAGCTCTGTAAGGAGGAATGGGCCAAAATTCACCCAACTTATTGTGGGAAGCTTGTGGAAGGCTACCTGAAACATTTAACCAAGTTAAACAATTTAAAGGCAATGCTGCCAAATACTAATTGAATGTATGTAAACTTCTGACCCACTAGGAATGTGATGAAAGAAATAAAAGCTGAAATAAATAATTCTCTCTACTATTATTCTGACATTTCACATTCTTAAAATAAAGTGGTGATCCTAACTGACCTAAGACAGGGAATTGTTACTAGGATTAAATGTCAGGAATTGTGAAAAACTGAGTTTAAATGTATTTGGCTAAGGTGTATGTAAACTTCCGACTTCAACTGTATGTTTGGGGGGTGGTATAAGTTGGTATGTTATAGTTTGGTGTGTTATAGGTTGGTGTGTGTTGTGTGTGTCAATACAGGACTAACATTGAATCCTACTACACCGGCTCTGACGCACTGGTCACGGATTTCAAAGGGAAACCCAGCTGCAAGCTGCCCAGTGACGCGAGCCTACCAGATGAGCTAAATGCCTTCTATCCTCGCTTCGAGGCAAGTAACACTGAACCATGCATGAGAGCACCAGCTGTTCCGGACGACTGTGTGATCACGCTCTCCTTAGCCAATGTGAGTAAGACTTTGAAACAAGTTAACATTCACAAGGCTGCAGACGGATTACCAGGATGCATACTCAGAGCATGCGCTGACCAGCTGGCAAGTGTCTTCACTGACATTTTCAACCTCTCCCTGACCCAGTCTGTAATACCAACATGTTTCAAGCAGACCACCATAGTCCCTGTGCCCAAGAACACCAAGGTAACCTGTTTAAATGACTATCGCCCTGTAGCACTCACATCTGTAGCCATGAAATGCTTTGAAAGGCTGTCATGGCTCACATCAACACCATCATCCCAGACACCATGGATCCACTCTAATTCGCATACCGCCCCAACAGATCCACAGATGACGCAATCTCTATTGCACTCCACACTACCCTTTCCCACCAGGACAAAAGAAACGCCTACGTGAGAATGCTGTTAATTGACTACAGCTCAGCGTTCAACACCGTAGTGCTCTCCAAGCTCATTACTAAACTAAGGACCCTGGGACTGAACACCTCCCTCAGCAACTGGATCCTGGACTTCCTGACGGGCAGTCCCCAGGTGGTGAGCTGGGGCCCCTCAGTGGTTTGTGCTTAGTCCCCTCCTGTACTCCTTATTCCCCCAAGACTGCGTGGCCACGCACAACTCTAACACCATCATTAAGTTTGCCGACGACATGACAGTGGTAAGATTGATCACCGACAATGATGAGACAGCCTATAGGGAGGAGGTCAGAGACCTGGCAGTGTAGTGCTAGGACAATAACCTCTCCCTCAACGTCAGCAAGACAAAGAAGCTGATTGTGGACTACAGGAAATGGATGACAGAGCATGCCCCCATTCACATTGACGGGGCTGTAGTGGGGCGGGTTGAGAGCATCAAGTTCCTCGGTGTCCACATCACTAAGGAACTATCATGGTTCAAACACACCAAAACAGTTGTGAAGAGGGCACAACCACGCCTCTTCCCCCTCAGGAGGCTGAAAAGATTTTGCATGGGCCCTCAGATCCTCAAAAAGTTCTACAGCTGCACCACTGAGAGCATCTTGACTGGCTGCATCACTGCTTGGTATGGCAACTGCTTGGCAGCCGACTGTAAGGCGCTACAGAGGGTAGTGTGTACAGCTCAGGGGGTCCAAGCTCCCTGCCATCCAGGACTTCTATATCAGGCGGTGTCAGAGGAAGGTCCTAAAAATTGCCAAAGACTTCAGCCACCCAAGTCATAGACTGTTCTCTCTGCAACCGCACAGCAAGCGGTACCGGAGTGCCAAGTCTGGAACCAAAAGGCTCCTGAACAGCTTCTACCCCCAAGCCATAAGATTGCTGAACAGTTAATCACATTTTTTGCACTGACTCTCTTACACTGGCTCTGTGCACACACGCTGGACTCTACTCACACACACGCACACGCACATGCACACACACACACACACACACACACACACACACACACCAACACAAACACACTACATGTACATATTACCTCAATTACCTCAACTACCTCGTACCCCCAGCACATTGACTCAGTACCGGTACTCCTTGTATATAGCCTCGTTATTGTTATTTTATTGTGTTACTATTTCCTATTTTGCTAATTTTTCTTACTTTTTAACTCTGCATTGTTGGGAAAAGGCTCATAAGTAAGCGATTCACGGTAATGTCAAGACCTGTTGTATTCGGCGCATGTGACAAATAAAATTGGATCTGATTTGATACACACACTCCTTCCAATACCATACACACATCAGACATACACACACTCCTTACAATACCAGGCAGAGCTGTGCTGTCGTAATGAGCAGTAATAAAGTCTGCCAGCACACACACACGTAACAGTCTTACTTCTGTCTCTCTCCTCGCCCTAACCTGGGCTCGAACCAGGGACCATCTGAACACATCAACAACTGCCTCCCGCGAAGCATCGTTATCTATCGCTCCACAAGCAAGGGAAACAACTACTTCAAGGTCTCAGAGCGAGTGACGTCGCCGATTGAAACGCTACTAGGGCGCAACACTAACTAGCTAGCCATTTCACATCAGTTACACACGCACACACACACACAGACACACACAAAGACACACACACACACAGACAAAGACACACACACACACACACACACACACACACACAAAGACACACACACACACACTGACTACTATACTCCTCATCAGACGTGGCCAGAATAAATTATCCTCATTAACCAGACACTGATATTAGATTCAGTGGAGGCTGCTGAGGGGAGGACGGCTCATAATAATGTCTGGAACGGAGCAGAAACTGCTCCAGCCATTACCATGAGCCTGTCCTCCCCAATTAAGGTGCCACCAACCTCCTGTGATTAGATTATATCTGCAGTTTCCTGTTAACTCTGCTCTGCTGCTCTGAGGACTATCTGTTCACTTCTTCTGGGAATGAGGCACATAGCTGGATCTACGCAACATGACAGGATGGGGATAATCTTCTTGACATTAGTCTATTTCTGAGGTGTAAAAACAGAACTGTAATTTGGGAGTAAGCATGTGAAGGCTCTAGACTGTCTTGAGCTCTGGGGCTTGACTGTCATGGCAGCAACAGATACAAATGTTACTTGATTCAATTACAGCTCTCATGTGCTAACATATGGTGCTATTCATCAAGACTAATTTCATATCTTGTACTTAACACACACACGCACACACACACACACATTCACACACACACACGCACATGACCCAATTCATCAAGCTAATTTCATACAAATGTATTTAATCATTTACATCCACAGCTGAGACTGGAGAGCAGGGGAGGCTGAAACTGACACACACACACACATTAATCAAGCTAATTTCATATTTCATACTAATTAATTAAATAAATTACATCCACAGCTGAGACTTGGGAGGCTGAAACTGACACACACACAACAATCTGTTTTCAAATGTCCACCCTTTCTTCACCTTCACACCTCTCATTCCTTCCTCATTTCCACTTCTTTCCACACCTCCATCCTTCTTTCCCTCCCTCTCTCCATTCCCTCAAACACTACATGGCTCACACATCTCTCAGCCAGGGAACACCTGCGTGTGTGTGTGTTTGTGTGTCTGTGTGTGTGTGTGTCTGTGTCTGTCTGTGTGTGTGTCTGTGTCTGTCTGTCTGTCTGTCTGTCTGTCTGTCTGTCTGTCTGTCTGTCTGTGTCTGTCTGTGTGTGTGTGTCTGTGTCTTTCTGTCTCTGTGTGTGTGTGTGTGTGTCCGTTTTTAAAAGCAGACCAGTGGAACACCTGTTTTGTAGCTAGTGTTGCTCCAGTCTGACCCAGAATTTCCAGAGCAGGGGTCACAGAGACACAGTGAGTCAGCCATTAGTCAGGCCCTTCCTGGGTAAACACAGCCTCACGGACAGCTTCCTTTGTCTACTGGTGCATGGACGATAAGATATACAAACAGTTTTAACTTCATTTCATTCACCTGGCTAAGTGGGATTTCGACAGAATAAGACCACAGTCTCAGTAGTCCTAGTAGTCCTAACCCTGATAGCAGCTATTATTGTGCTAACTAGCAAAGAACCCCACACAAGGTACACACACACATGTGTGCATGCAACATACAGTAAATATAATATTCATTAGGAAAGAGAGAGAGAGAGAGAGAGAGAGAGAGAGAGAGAGAGAGAGAGAGAGAGAGAGAGAGAGAGAGAGAAGGGCCATTACCAGTTAGGTGTCAGGGGCCTGGGTGTGTGTTCAACTAGCTCTCACAGTCTCACACCAGAGTTAGATGTTCATCCATGTTTCTCAAACGTCAAATTTCGAAGTAGTTCCAAACGTCAAATTTCAAAGTGTTTAAGGTTAAGTTGAGGAATGAATTTTAAAGGGTTAAGTTTAGGTACTAACTCCGAAATCTTAAGGTTAGGCATTAACTCCAAATGGTTAAGATAAGGATTAAGGTTTGGGATAGGCTTAAAACAAAAATCTCCAAAACAACTTTCTATCACATTTTTTGGGGATAGTAGCAGGTGTGACTTGATGAGAGTCAATAACAAACCTTCCTATGACAACATGTGTCTCTGTGTTGTGATGTTAGTATGTAACTGAACACCATAATGGTCTGTTTCACTGGTATATCTCTGTCACTTACCTTAAAACCTATCTTACCTTACACACACACCTTACATCTTACAGTATCTTAGGTTACACCCAGCTATCAGACTGCACTGTGTGTCTAGATGATACTCATCAGGGACAGAGACAGAGAAGAGAAGAGAAAGAGAGTGTAAGAGGAACAGGAGGGAGAGAGAAAGAGAGAGATAGAATAGATGGATATGTAAATTGCATTGTTGAAGAGGATGTAAGATGGTTGGGTCTCTGACTGGTTCCTACATTACTTCGGACCAATAGCAGAGCAGAGATGTGCCTCTCCCAGCCATACAAAGAGCTTCCTTCATCTCTGGTCCCAGCCCCTGGCAGGGAAGACAACATTTACATTTACATTTTTAGTCATTTAGCAGACGCTCTTATCCAGAGTGACTTACAGTTAGTGAGTGCATACATTATTTTATTTTTCATACTGGCCCCCCGTGGGAATCGAACCCACAACCCTGGCGTTGCAAACACCATGGTCTACCAACTGAGCTACATCCCTGCCGGCCATTCCCTACCCTGGACGACGCTGGGCCAATTGTGCGCCGCCCCATGGGTCTCCCGGTCGCGGCCAGCTACGACAGAGCCTGGATTCGAACCAGGATCTCTAGTGGCACAGCTAGTGCCTTAGACCACTGCGCCACTCGGGAGACAACCCAGCTCCTATTGCACATCTCCCTCTCTCCCTCTTTCCCCCTCTCCATCCCTCAATCTCCTATTCCACCTCCCTTTCACTCTCCGGAGCAACCTTGTCCTCACCTCACCCTCCTCAATGTCTTCTCTTCCTGTTCTCCTCCTCTCTTCTTCCTCTCCTCTTCCTTTCCTCTCATCTAGACCTTTAATCTATTAAAGCAGCACAGGGCTGCAGAGATGCCACACAGCATCTCATGACACTCATCATGTTTCTATGAGACAATGAGACAGACTCACTCACACTGATGTTACACTAGACCAGACCAGACACACACAGATGGAGGGATCAAATGAGAGGTGTAGTGAGGCTCCAGGCTGCAGATGGTCTCCAGCTTCCCAGACAGACAGACAGACACAAAACAGGCACACAAAGCAGGTGTAAGGGTTAAAAGAGAGAGGGGGAGGGGGGGAGAGGCTTGTTGAGAAAGAGAAGGGTGAGAAGGAGAGGGGAGATAGAGAGAGAGAGACAGAGAGAGAGGGGAGAGAAGGGGAGGAGAGGGGGGATAGAGGGAGAGACAGAGAGAGAGGTGAGAGAAGGGAAGGAGAGGAGAGATAGAGGGAGAGAAAGAGAGAGAGGGGAGAGAAGGGGAGGAGAGGAGAGATAGAGAGAGAGACAGAGAGAGGAAGGAGAGTTGGATTGGGGGAGAAAGACAACCCTTCCCTCCTTTTTCCAGCTGTTAAAAACAGAGCCCCTCTCTTTCCCTCTCTTCCCCCTCTCCTACTCTGCTCCCCTATGGAATAGAGAGCTCAGAGTTCCCCCTCTCCTACTCTGCTCCCCTATGGAATAGAGAGCTCAGAGTGGGAGACGTGTGGAATGTATAATGCATCGACTGAACGGGGGGGTGTGTGTGTGTGTGTGTGTGGGTGTTTCCATAGGGAGTAGGAGGGAGAGTCATTATAGTTCTAATTGTTGTGTTTTAGACTCAGCGCCTTGCAGAAGCCAAATGAGCTGTGAAGTGTTTCATTACATATGTGTGCCTGCGTGTGGGCATGTGTGTTTGTAATATGTTTTTGTTTTTGTGGGTCGTCACACTAGGCAACAGATCAGCGTATCAGTAAAATACAGTATAATAATAATATATGCCATTTTGCAGACACTTTTATCCAAAGCGACTTACAGTCATGCTTTTACATATGGGTGGCCCTGGGAATCAAAATCAAATCAAATCAAAATGTATTTGTCACATGCGCCAAATACAACAGGTGTAGACCTTACCGTGAAATGCTTACTTACAAGCCCTTAACCAACAATACAGTTTTAAGAAAAATAATAGTTAAGAAAATATTTACTAAATAAATAAATATACTGGGGGTACCGGCACCGAGTCAATGTGCGGGGTACAGGTTAGTCGAGGTAATTGAGTTAATATGTATATGTAGGTAGGGGTAAAGTGACTATGCATAGATAATAAACAGCGAGTAGCAGCAGGGGGGTCAATGCAAATAGTCCGGGTAGCCATTTGATTAGCTGTTCAGCAGTCTTATGGCTTGCGGGTGGAAGCTGTTAAGAAGCCTTTTGGACCTAGACTTGGCACTCCGGTACCGCTTGCCGTGCGGGAGCAGAGAGAACAGTCTATGACTAGGGTGGCTGGAGTCTTTGGCAATTTTTAGGGCCTTCCTCTGACATGGTATAGAGGTCCTGGATAGCAGGAAGCTTGACCCCAGTGATGTACTGGGCCGTACGCACTACCCTCTGTAGCATCTTGTGGTCGGAGGCCGAGCAGTTGCCATACCAGGTGGTGATGCAACCAGTCAGGATGCTCTCGATGGTGCAGCTGTAGAACATTTTGAGGATCTGAGGATCCATGCCAAATCTTTTCAGTCTCCTGAGGGGGAATAGGCATTGTTGTGCCCTCTTCACGACTGTCTTGGTGTGTTTGGACCTTGATAGTTTGTTGGTGATGTGGACACCAAGGAACTTGAAGCGCTCAACCTGCTCCACTACAGCCCCGTCGATGAGAATGGGGGTGTGCTCGGCCCTCCTTTTCCTGTAGTCCACGATCATCTCCTTTGTCTTGATCACGTTGAGGGAGAGGTTGTTGCCCTGGCACCACACTTCCAGGTCTCTGACCTCCTCCCTATAGGCTGTGTCATTGTTGTCGGTGATCAGGCCTAACACGGTTGTGTTGTCGGCAAATTTAATGATGGTGTCGGAGTCGTGCTTGGCCACGCAGTCGTGGGTGAACAGGGAGTACAGGAGAGGACTAAGCACGCACCCCTGAGGGGCCCCGGTGTTGAGGATCAGCGAGGCAGATGTGTTGTTGCCTACCCTTACAACCTGGGGGTGGCCCGTCGTGAAGTCCAGGATCCAGTTGCAGAGGGAGGTGTTTAGTCCCAGGGTCCTTAGCTTAGTGATGAGCTTTGAGGGAACTATGGTGTTGAACGCTGAGCTGTAGTCAATGTACAGCATTCTCACATGGGTGTTCCTTTTGTCCAGGTGGGAAAGGGCAGTGTGGAGTGCAATAGAGATTGCGTCATCTGTGGATCTGTTGGGGCGGTATGCGAATTGGAGGGGTCTAGGGTTTCTGGGATGATGGTGTTGATGTGAGCCATGACCAGCCTTTCAAAGCACTTCATGGCTACAGACGTGCCTGCTATGGGTCGGTAGTCATTTAGGCAGTTTACCTTTGTGTTCTTGGGCACAGGGACTATGGTGGTCTACTTGAAACATGTATGTATTACAGTCTCGGTCAGGGACAGGTTGAAAATGTCAGTGAAGACACTTGCCAGTTGATCAGCGCATGCTCTGAGTACATGTCCTGGTAATCCGTCTTGCCCTGCGGCCTTGTAAATGTTGACCTGTTTAAAGGTTTTACTCACATCGGCTACGGAGAGCATGATCACAGAGTCATCCGGAACAGCTGGTGCTCTCATGCATGCTTCAGTGTTGCTTGCCTCGAAGCGCACATAGAAGTCATTTAGCTCATCCGGTAGGCTCGTGTCACTGGGCAGCTTGCGGCTGGGCTTCCCTTTGAAGTCTGTAATAGTTTGCAAGCCCTGCCACATCCGACGAGCGTCGGAGCCGGTGTAGTAGGATTCAATCTTACCCCTGTATTGACGCTTGCCTGTTTGATGTTTCGTCTAAGGTTATAGCGGGAATTCTTATAAGCGTCCGGGTTAGAGTCCCGCTCCTTGAAAGCGGCAGCTCTACCCTTTAGCTCAATGCGGATGTTGCCTGTAATCCATGGTTTCTGGTTGGGGTATGTACGTACGGTCACTGTGGGGACGACGTCATCAATGCACTTATTGATGAAGCCGGTGACTGATGTGGAATACTCCTCAATGCCATCGGATGAATCCCGGAACATATTCCAGTCTGTGCTAGCAAAACAGTCCTGTAGCTTAGCATCTGCGTCATCTGACCACTTCCGTATTGAGCGAGTCACTGGTACTTCCTTCTTTAGTTTTTGCTTGTAAGCAGGAATCAAGAGGATAGAATTATGGTCAGATTTGCCAAATGGAGGGTGAGGGAGAGCTTTGTACGCGTCTCTGTGTGTGCAGTAAAGGTGGTGTGTGGAGTAAACCCACAATCCTGCCGTTGCAAGCACCATGCTCTACCAACTGAGCCATACAGGACCACATCAGTCTCCAACAATAGTACTACAGTCTGCAGACACAAAGATAGAGTGCCTGCAGAAGGTACTGTTTTCATACCTCTAGACTTTTTTTTAAATCAATTTTAAATTCAGGCTGTAACACAACAAAATGTGGAAAAAGTAAAGGTGTGTGATGAATACTTTCTGAAGGCACTGTATAGTTTCTAGTACCAATATCACTAACGAGTATTGCACATTGGTACAGATTGGATTATCTACATATTTTATATCTAATGTGGATGTTCAATCTTTCCTAATCACTGTAACTACACCTCATTATGATTCATATAAGGAATCTGTGCTATAATGTGTGCATGTTTAAAAAAGCATAACTAATAGAAAACAAATAGACAGGCTGGGTCTACCTCAGACATAACTAGGACAGATATACAGGCTGGGTCTACCTCAGACATAACTAGGACAGATAGACAGGCTGGGTCTACCTCAGACATCAAATCAAATCAAATCAAATCAAATTTTATTGGTCACATGCGCCGAATACAACAGGTGCAGACATTACAGTGAAATGCTTACTTACAGCCCTTAACCAACAGTGCATTTATTTTAAACAAAAAAGTAAGAATAAAACAACAACAAAAAAGTGTTGAGAAAAAAAGAGCAGAAGTAAAAAATAAAGTGACAGTAGGGAGGCTATATATACAATAGAATAAAGTGACAGTAGGGAGGCTATATATACAGGGGGGTACCGTTGCATAGTCAATGTGCGGGGGCACCGGCTAGTTGAGGTAGTTGAGGTAATATGTACATGTGGGTAGAGTTAAAGTGACTATGCATAAATACTTAACAGAGTAGCAGCAGCGTAAAAAGGATGGGGGTGGGGGGGCAGTGCAAATAGTCCGGGTAGCCATGATTAGCTGTTCAGGAGTCTTATGGCTTGGGGGTAGAAGCTGTTGAGAAGTCTTTTGGACCTAGAGAAGTCTTTTGGACCTAGAGAAGTCTTTTGGACCTAGGACATAACTAGGACAGATAGACAGGCTGGGTCTACCTCAGACATAACTAGTACTGATATACAGGCTGGGTCTACCTCAGACATAACTAGGACAGATATACAGGCTGGGTCTACCTCAGACATAACTAGGACAGATAGACAGACTGGGTCTACCTCAGACATAACTAGGACAGATAGACAGACTGGGTCTACCTCAGACATAACTAGGCCAAATAGACAGGCTGGGTCTACCTCAGACATAACTAGGCCAGATAGACAGACTGGGTCTACCTCAGACATAACTAGGACAGATAAACAGACTGGGTCTACCTCAGACATAACTAGGACAGATAGACAGACTGGGTCTAGCTCAGACATAACTAGGACAGATTGACAGGCTGGGTCTACCTCAGACATTACTAGGACTCTCATGCATTCTCTCAGCTATGAGACAGGGACATAACACACAAAGAGGGGGATAGTAGCAGTCCACACACCCCACCTGAATGAGAAAACAATAAGAAGAAGAGCAGTGAGAGGAGAGAGTCGAGTCCCAGGGGACTTCATTAATATCTATGATAAGATGATGAAAACGGTGTAAATCTGCACACACAGCATAGCTCCAGTGTGTGTGTGTGTGTCCCACAGTAGTTCAGTGTATTTTATACCGCAGCCAGGTGTACTATGTCTTTCATCTCCTGACAGGTGAGACAGAGACAGAGGCATCGTGGGTGTTGGAGTCCCACTGAGACCCAAACAGCTTTGTTATGGAGACTAGCTCAGAGGAGAA